TGACTTACCTGTCAGTTAAGCGAGAGGTTTATCCAGTGCCAGATATATAATCGAGGAGCACATTGGTGAAAGTCCCCGCCATGTTTAAAATGCAGTTTCAAAATACTCACCGACTAACAATCAATAGGTGTCCGGGCAACAGGCGAAAATGCGCCGTTACAATTTCTGGACACCCCCAACCCACCATCCTATTCCCTCGAGTTCAAATTAGCGCCAAGTTCTTACGCGCAACACCACATTCCGTCTCGTATAAACCGTGTAAGGCTTCCTACTACTCGCAGGTATCAAGTGTTTTAATCATGGCTCTCTGGCAAAGTCCATTTTAGGTATCACTAAATAGGCTAAATGGTTACCAAATCACAACTGAGCTCGATGAATCAATGGTATGTTGATAACCTCATAACTTCTGGTCTCCATCTTTGGGTTGACCAGAATTATACTTATAGACGATCGAGCACGCACTAAAGCTGAAAATGAAATAATGGCTGCTTCAGGTGTCGTCAGCTAATCCTGAATAAAAACTTTTCAGGTTGCACCACTACTCGAAAAATCTCTATTTACTGACATCACATTATCTGCAAGGCTGATGTAAGTCCACTACGGAGTTCACTCTCTTGGTTCTTATTAGGAGCCGTAGTCACTGGTTTCCCATCAATCTTGATTTCCACGTGAACGCTAAATCCCAGATATTCACTCACTTGCAAACCGAATAGAGGTCAACACCAACTTACATTTTGGAGCTCATTTAGGATTTAAGATTGATGGAATCTTGGTTATTAAGCCAAAGAGGGGCGAAACCGATTATGGTCTGTGTACGAGACCTTATCAACGTTGCTAGCAGTATTTTGACGACAAATGAACCTACATGTCTCGAACATCGTACCATCTGAAACTTCAAGTGACGTTTCTGCTACACGTTCCGCTGAACGACATCATAAGCGAGAGATTCAGCCGCGATTCATTCTGGTCTGTAATTGACATCATCGGTTGACCCATCGTTCGACATGTGTGTCTTAGAGCTCGACTTACAGGTTAATTTGGAGGCTAAACTCAATTGAGCTACAAATGGTCTATGTTACACCACCACCCGGTTCAACATCATCCCCTCCCACACTCGCTTGTGGGCTTACATTACGTCCTCCAGTTTGTCTCTCGATATTTGTCATCGTTCATCTACACCTGCGTTCTTTCGTCTGAAGCACCACGTGCATTGACGCAAGGATAACTAATCCTCCGCGAAGGTGTCGGTTTGGTATCCATTCCACTCGCTCGAATGCCATAATCCGGTACTGATGAAAGTGGCTGTACATGTATCATAAATACCAGTCGGTTGGACAGCCCTCTCAAGGGGGAGGTGTTCGGGGGCCAGCCGCCCCTAATAACAGAACAGCACATCATTTGGACGGATGTGTCACGTGCAGGACACGGACCAAAAGAAGCCACGTCCTGATTGGTCAGAATGCCAGCCAATCCGAGTCAAGCACCTTGACTCGACGCTTCTCGCCCCCTCACGGACATTCTGGCACGACCTTGTGGAACACTCTATGACTACCCTATATATACAGTTGTAATGATTTTCCTTTGTCTCCATAAAGGGCTGTGTAGAGCTACCGTGACAACAGTGACATTTAACCAGAATCAGCCGATGTGTTACGTCCGTTGGGCGAGACACATTTCAAGCAACTGACATTATCTATCGATGAAAATCACCAAGACTGCTTAATTTTTCGCTAAAGATGAACCTATCTATCCCAGTTACTTCAAATTGTAAATACAACCGTGCAAGTACCAAGAACTTAGAAGAGAAAGGGAGCTAGCTATATTTACTAGTGTTGCGGTATTTGGCAGACCGACTGTTTGAAGCTGATGACAAGCAACCCAGAACACAGAAAAACATCGCCAAGAGACCAAAATCACCGGATGAATTTCAGGTTGCTAGACAATGGGAAAGACCCGGTGTCTTTCATCCATCGAGCGCTGAGTTGCCTGAACAAGTTCAGACTGTGGTGATAGTATGTCGTAGAATTAGATCTTGCAACATTTTGTCTGCTTGAACGTCGCTTGCTCTTGATAGTTGCTTAAAATGCTGTCATCTTTGGAGGGTGATTCCCGTTACCAGTAAGGGTTGTTGAGGCTAATGGTTACTTTCGATTCTATCCCAGCTGGACGACTCCTCCCCCCCCAAAAAAGGGATCTTGCAACATTTTGTCTGCTTGAACGTCGCTTGCTCTTGATAGTTGCTTAAAATGCTGTCATCTTTGGAGGGTGATTCCCGTTACCAGTAAGGGTTGTTGAGGCTAATGGTTACTTTCGATTCTATCCCAGCTGGACGACTCCCCCCCCACCCGCAAAAAGGATCAGAAATCAATACTTAGCCTCAGTTTTTGTTTGTAATACGCAGTCAAATGGTCATAATTCAGCCGGCTTCTTATTGAAATTGCAAGTCAACGATTATAAACATCAAAAAGATTGTGTACTTGGATGCGTTTACCCAACTCAAGCTCAACGTTTAGGAGCTATCTCAGCGATTAGTAATAAGACCAATCCCAACCGGAAAACTGTCGATTTCTAGTCCCTATGTTGCTTTCACAAAATAAGTCTAGCTGCTTGTTTATCAGCCCGTTACTACCCCGTCACTTTTTTTGAGTCAAATACAGTGTGTGGTAAACTTACTGAACCGTCCCAAAACCTTTTTTCCGATTTGTAGATCCTATGCCTACGGTGGCAAGGGCAGTCACGGAACAGGGTGAGTCATCCATTTATAGCTAGTAACAGAGTGGGAGAGAAAAAAGTCAATGGACAGTGCATATCACTGGTTTGATGATAGGACTGTGGCTGCAAGTCTGCGAGGCTGCATGGTTGAAACACATCTTCGTACTAAATCCTTCGTACTAAGAGCTTCTTCCGTTTTGGGGCTCCCCAGGTATATATAGCCCCTCCCCCCCAAAAAAATTAGACAATTATTACTGGACTTGAACAGCAGTCCAGACAAATATTTATTCTTGAGCGCATGTGCATGATGAGAGTGCTGCAGCTGGAGACTAGATAAAGTTCCTCGTAGAACACTGATACGGTTTCGTATAAGGTGCAACACATGGGCCTCCTCGGGGTTTCACCGTTGCACATCGAGTCTCCAGTTGTAATAATGCCATTACGCATATGAGCGAATGAATTACAAACAACAGATATGTTTTACCAACTGAGTGGGAAATGTGGTGCTGAAACTTGGGCATCATAGATGAAATAAGACCTGTTTTGCTAGGTACTGGTCAATCATTCATGAAGAAGGATGGATTCATAGAAAGCGCTTATCAGCAATGGGGTTTTTGAATCGAATCGCCATCAGGTCAATCACTGTGTGCTCTTGTTCAGGTACTTGCCCACATTCACATCTGAACGCAATGCAGGTGTTATAGTAAGGGTGGATACTAGACAAAGGCATGTGATAGGGGCTACTATTACGCGTACGCAGAAGCACCAGCTGGAAAAACAGTCTGCAGGGGGCACGCAAGATGACACGTTTAAGCGGGGATTGTCTGGACGGTTTGTCCCGGGAATATGGGAGCTAACGTTCTGTTAAGAAAAGATGACGCGTGACAAAACGAAATTATAGATTTTTAGGCTCTGCTACTTCGAAACAAGTTGAGATTCTCAAGAGTTTTCTTAACGGGCCCAGCCAAATAGGTCTTTCGTGTGTACATATGGCAGTGGAACAGCACGACTATGTTGGGCTATTATTTTCTTCCTAGGTTACATATTTGAAAGTTAAGCATCATTATGGCTACTCAAAAGACCGCCTCCGATACATAGCGCTCCGCAGACGAGTGAACTTAAAAGTGGTAAAGTCCAACAGCTTAAAATGTTGGGGATACCCAAGAAAAACGGGCGCTGCGCATTGATATTTAGTAAAACTTCAATTTGATTTATTGCAAATCCATCATTAAAGTGATAGTCACGAGGTCTCACTGTTTAAGTGGACAATTTCGTTAGTGAAACTGAGTTACTATGGCATAATGTCAGAAAAACCTTGTATGACACAAGGAATTAAAATAATCGCTCAGCCATAACACTTTCGGTGCACAGCTGTCATGCCACACGAAAGCGGCACGGGGCCTGAGATAGTGCCAGGTCGCCACGCTTAGATAGGAGCACTTGAGATGCAATAGACTCGAACCAAGGACTTTTCGGTCAGCAAGTTCACGGCTTTATCATTAAGCTATCTCAAAGTCAGTACAACTAACTGTCGTTCCCCAGACCGCTTACTCATAAGAAAGCGTTTTTTGAAAATCGTTCCAATTTTTCCAACAGCTGATCTGAGTCATACTTTCCTTTATCATTCAGAAAAAATCTTAGCACCATCAAGGCATTGCGTGTACTTCGGGTCTTGAGGCCGCTGAAGACTATTCGCAGGGTACCCAAGCTCAAGGTAAACACTATACACTGTCTCTTTGTTTTTTTTCATTGAATATACATCCGTCATTGTTAATTTCAGTCAAACATGTCATCCAGATAGACTACCAGTGAAAGGAAGAAGGCCTTTCCGGCGGAGTTGTTTATTGACGAAACACCAACTGAACCGCTACAGACTATTGGACAAGGGAGCAAAACTCTCATATGCATCTTGTGTATGAAACTGAATATCCATCTCTTTGAACGCGTCTTCCAGAACTTTCTCAAATGCAAACAAATGCTACAAATTCCGTAATAGATCTCACTTTTCCATAGAAGCGGAGCGGATTTACGAGAAGACACTACTCGCATGCCTCATCAGTAGTATCCACCGTTACACCAGTACATATGTAAGACTGATGATGCGTTTTAGTATCGACCGCAGCTCGTCCCGCGTTCGACCTGTATAAACCTTGGACCGCATGTCTTATCACAGACTAATATTTGATTGTTTTATATATGTGACATCGAGAATTCTGTCATATGATTCCTTTTCTTAAACGATTCCTTTCCACTTAACCAATTCCTCCCCCATTTTCTACGCATTTCAGGCTGTGTTCGACTGTGTTGTCAGTTCGCTGAAAAATGTGGTCATTATCCTCATCGTCTATCTGCTTTTCATGTTCATCTTCTCCGTGGTTGCAGTTCAGTTGTTTCAGGGGAAATTTTTCTACTGCAATGACCTTTCCAAACTGACAAAGGAAGAATGCCAGTAAGTTTATTCAGCGTCACGTTGATAAATAGGACCATTATTAAATGTGTCTTATGAAAGGAATTCAGTAACTCAATCATAACTCGATGAGCTTTTATCTAAATGGAATAGATTTCAAAAGACGAAATAAGCTTAATTTCCCGACAAAGCACACTACTCACCAAGTTGCCGAAGACGATCAAACGACTGCTTTTGCCCTGGATAAAGTCCAGCATGTGAGAGATTCTGTTAATCTTATATGCCACTCGAACCCAAATTGGACGCCACTCCCGAAATCAGCTGACTTGCACACTAATCAGGCTATAACAAAGGGTTCAGCTGAATCCCAAGTGAATCCCTCGTTTATGATATTCTTCAGCTAAGTGTGTTATACAAAAACTGATTCATATTTTAGTAGGTATGTTATTCGGGATATTGCTGTATATTTTCTTGATGGAGAACACGGCTAACAAAGTAGCTGAAAACACAGTTTTTTACCAAGTGCGTGAGCACAACCTGATGTCCAAGAAAAGCATAAAGCTGACGGAAAGTCGGGGAGTGTGGCTGTCTGATGGACTGTACTTGTCGAAGTGTATTCAGCAACCCTAAAAGTTGTTTTTTGTTCAGAAATTAAACTACGATATCTCAATTATTGTACTTCATAAGATATCCAGCGACTTTTGTGAAGCAAGTTCAGTTGAAGAACAATATCATAAACGAGAGATTAAGGTGCATCTGCCCTGGTAACGCAAACATCATTGGCAAATGAGGGTAATTCGCCAAAAGAATGCCTTCCACCCCCTTGACAAAAGATTTAAAAGGACTGTCGTGGTTAATAAACAAAACAACAGATTTATTATTTATAAGCCTTTAGGCTCGATTGCCGATAGTGTCTTTCATTCTGTCAAAGTCTAAGAGGATTATCCCTCCACAAGTCACTCGAATAGGTTTATTTGAGGCCAGCCTATAAACTGATAAGCTTTTAAACTTCCATATAGTATCATATAGTTGCATGGGACATCTCTAACGTAACGTCGCTTATATGCTCTAAGTTGCACCGAAATACGTCTGACCCTGCCGACGTACTCATCAGCCATATATCTGTGTTAATCAACCGTGAGAGTTTTACCTCTGTTGATACACTACTTTGCCATCATGTCGTGGTTCATATTTCACAACCCGAATCGCTGTTTGAATTTCATCCAGTTTTTGGTACAAGTTACCGACATCTGTGAAATCCCTAGTGACGCGTTTTTACGATTCGTACATCCAGGTTGAGCAGCTTAATGATAGAACCAGCACTATATGGTTAACAAGACCGAAAATGGAGTAGAATTTTGATAATACATAAAATACAGTATGGTGTATATCATGTGGCCGAACAACAACATAGGCTGCAGTATGGAACCTCTGTAGGATTCCGTCGTCGTGTTCAACACTTGCGAAACTCTGTTCAGCACTCTGAAGCTGAAACGTCATGAACTGCCCAACACAACGGTTTTACAAACTGTAATATGGGCGACGTCTTGGGTCAGTTCCCGAGGCACTGTAACCCTGCTGCTTTATTTTCATCGAAGATATTTTCATTTTCGTCTAATGAGAATGAAAAGCTCATTCACCAGCAATTTAATTCGAGTCATTCGAGCCATAAATAATGATTAGAACGTGTGTTACGTCACAAAAGGTGTGAATGTTACCTGACGCCATTACGCGCCCCCGTGGTAAATGCTTGCCGTTTCTGGGATCGATACGAACGAAAGCTAATCTTTATGCGGTCCTTATTTCAAGAAGCGTCCAGGATTGTGCCATCGGAAGAAAATGGCAAGGTGGCCACCATCGGCTGCAAATCGTATATGGGTAATAAAATAATCTTAGATTTCATATCAATTATTTTGTGTGCCATCACACTGCGCATTTTTAATGACAAAGTCGGGAATCTCGACCAATTTCGGCTGGACTAATCCCCGGGGGGTCTATCCGGTATGGTGGTCTCACAGCGCGGAATATTAATTACTAAGGTGCCATTTTGCTCCCCGCTTCTTACGAGAAAAAAACTGTTCACGAAGTCACAAGTTTAGAGGCGTCATAGTGGTTTCCTTTTTCAAGCTATTGCTTGAATCCAGGTTTCTCATAATATGGAATAATGCAGTAGGGTGAACAAAAGCTTCTTCCCAATTTAGATTACTCCCCTTAGCTCTTTTGTTTTTATCGGCATCCTCTGAGGCGAATACTGTCATTTTAGAGACTTTAAGCCGCAGGTTGTTTAAAAAGCTTCATCTTTTTTTAAAGGCTATTCACGAATTAGTTCATTAATTATCTATGTTTCCTTTCGGAACAGTTTGAGAAACATTCAGTAGTTTCGTTGTCTATGTAGTCCTTTTTAACCTGACTCTCATGCCTTATTCTTTTCAAAGCACTAATATGGGATGAACGATACAAATTAATCGGTAATCTTGTATTATATATTTAGAGGCTACTATTTCTCCTACGAATCGGGGCCAGTCCCTGTGGTCAGACCTCGTGAATGGGCCCTGCGAGACTTCAACTACGACAATGTTATCAATGCAATGCTCACACTATACACTGTGACAACCGGTGAAGGCTGGCCTGGGTGAGTAGCATGTAGCTTTATCGTGTTCCGAACAAACTGACATCGTGCTAAGTTTATAAAGTCTATTCACTCCTAACGCAATTCCCATTGGATAAACAGACCATCAAGTAAAGCTAGCTTTACTTCAGAACTACGTGTGATATCAACATGAAAACATGCAACATATTAAGGGTCGCAAAGGGATAAAATAAAATTGGATGTTTGATTGGCTGAGTGAAACATACGAGATTCGAGCTCTGGCATCATTACCTGAAATTTAAATTTTGTGCTTGTAAGCGCTAGTAATCACACATTTTCACATACTTCCGGGTCTAATGGCCATTAATGAGACAAATGGTTTGTTCCAGTCGTAAGCAGAATATTTTCCCAGAACAACGAATCATTGTTTTGGTAAACAAAATGCAGATTAAAACGCTACTGACCTTTAACAACGTTCAATGCAAGTAAGATTAAAGATTCCCGTTCAAGTAGTAACCTACGACTCGCCCTCAGCGTCCAGTGCAATTTCGTCTGATTGAACGACAATATATCATTAAATTGTTGACCACAGTGTCCTGTTGTTAAACCCATCCACCCATGAGGTCAGAAGGTCGTCTTAATCACTGAAATCAGTCCGTGGAACAACAAGTGAAGTACACTGATTTGAGATTTTATCTCACTGCTTCTAGCAACTACATCCAGAATGTCATGTTAGGTCTCAGCCGCTAATCTGCGACTGTTATGGCACAAATCCAGGTCTTATACTGCGCGCATGTTCCAACTGGCCCCTGTCCATCATTTGACCGATGGAATCGTTTGGATTCGATTGTTCGTAAACCGTTTGTCCAGTTTATTGTGTTGACCTTTCTTTCCTCTGAATTGAATAGCATGACACTTCGTTATCGTCATATGGAAGTTCACTTCTGAGTCCGTTTGCTTTCAGTGCAAACATGCAGAAATGCAGTGGCTACAGAGGTTCTCGACCGAACAATTAAATGTTCGAACTACTAACCGAGAAACCGCGGGTTCGAAACTCACTACTGGAGTTTCACGGGATGCACACTGCTGGTGACTCCCAGTAAGGATGTAGAATACTGTACATAGATTGGCTTCAGTTACTGAACGAAGACTTTATTAAAATTCCCAAATCTCCACGCACTAACAACAAAAGGTTTTGAACAGTGGCTCTAACTTAACCCGCATGCGACATTTGGCCGCCGTTTTTAGAGCATTGTGCAGCAACTTAAAGACAGTCCCACGAAAAACCCGACAAACATGGTCTGGCAGGTTGCAGTAGCTAATTTATCCACTTCCATCAACATTTTCGTAAAATCCTGCTGGGCTGACAGCCGTTTCCAGATTTGTCCGTTACATCGAGCTACGCCTTGGGACACCGGTGCATAATTGCCAACACCATATGAATCCACCTTAGTGCTCTGTACCCGGTGTGGACTGAGGGTGCGAGATCCGAAAATGAGCTTGAGGAAACAGTTCAAAGTTTGTTCGACTGGTGTCCCATAATTGCCGCTTCAGACAGGCGAAACTGAACTTTTAAGCCCATAGTGTTTGCAAAGTGGCCGCTGGTGGCACGCACCACTCAGGAGAGATAGTCTGATTAGCTAGTTTTAGTCACCATACATTTTGATCTGTACAAAAATGGTCACAGAATGTTACCTCCAGAACAACTGTAGGCATTGAGTTTTAATGTCGGTCTTCTGCAGATGAAAGCCCGCGAATGAAATTAAAAAAGGAGACATCAAATCACAGCTCAAACTAATACAGTACCGTACAGTACGGTTTATACAAAATAGATTTGAGAGCGCGATGAAAACAACAGAAAGTCCGGTAGCCAAATTTGAGCCTCTTCGGCAGAGAACCACTCACGGCATCCTCAGATTTGGGCGTTGGAGACAAATAAATCCTGGTACACTCAATATATGCAACATTTCTTCCTGTGGCAATACATCACATGTGAGATTCACATCAAGGACACACGTGTCCGGTTGGTGTCCAGCTTGATGCTCTGGATAACTATGATCGTTTCTAACACCATTATGGGCTTGAAGCTCCGGATAAGTGACTGCAAGCAGATAACCCGAAAAAATGACCTCAGGGGCTTTCAGTGGCGACCGGCATCAGGGTCCTATAGGCTTGGGCAGTGGTGTCATCAGCCTACCCAAGTTGTTACCAACAATTCTCAATTCAAATGGGTAAAACTGGACAGTTGATCATCCAGGGTGCACGCAGAGGCACCTTGTGGCCTGCACCGGTCAACAGACCCGTCTGAAGCACACGCACATGGATGACCAGTGCTAACCAACGTTCAGCTAGGTGAAATTTCAGCCAATTGAAATAGATCTTCACCTGGAGCTAAAGTACTTGAAGTTCAATATCAACAAAATTACAGTATGAAACCAAGGCCAATCGTTCTAATAATGACTATACATAGAGTACTCAAAATCGCAAACAACTGGCCGACTAAAAGGGCGACCGGTCTCCCAGAATTCTCTGTAGCTTGTGGGAAAATAATTCTTGCAATTTTTATTGCCCGAATATCCCCACTGAAAGATGAAGACGCTTAGGAAAGCCAAGTTGGTAAAAGATGGAGGAAGGGATGGTAGATGACTAAATATTTGAAACATTTTGTTGAACCGGAATCTGTCTGGTTCCGCGTGGACTCTAGTAAATTGATGCACAAGCCAACTGGAACATGCGAAGTATACTTCAGCTACTGGGGAAGTTTTTGTACCCTGAAACTGCGAGAGACAGGCACCGCCCAAAGTTAAATAAACTGACACAATAAATTTCTCTAAATACTACCAATTAGTAATGACTATCACATTTTGTTGCTTATGCAATAGAATAACTCGAAACATTGGAATCACATGATAGCACAAATCAGGTGGGCTGTTGCGTCCGACTACATAACCCATGCATTATCACCCCAAAAAACCTAAACATGCAATGTAATGTAATGTAATAATTCCCTCCTGTATCGAGTGATATCAGCGTTAATCGGTGACTGCTGTGTGGAATGGCAAAAACGAGTAGCTTCCCAAAAACACACGGGATTCCATGACATTGTTACTTTCTGTCACACAATGAATTAGCTACAATGAGCTGTGCAAATGCTAATGAGAGGCTAGTATTCGGAGGTGATTCGTTCATCAGAACTCGTCGAATCAATATTATGTCTATGCATAAGTAGTATTGTCGTACCACGTGGGAAGCTGCGCGCTGGCACTAATTACAGATAGAGCATGCTAATACGAACGCAGTAGAGTTAGATCGACAGGCAAATGTGCTGCTGCTCAGCTGCTCACGACCCAGCGGTTATCTGTTCGAACTACTAACCATAAGATCATAGTTCGAAACTCCCTACTAGAGCTTCGTGAGGTGTGCACTGCAGATGATCCCCAATGAAGATGAAGCAGCTGTAAGGTGCTCCTCAGGTTTTCGGTAAAGATTTGCTTGATTGATAGCAGGAAATCCCAGTTGGAAATTCTGGAAGTCTTTTAATATCCACTAGTCGGTTTGAGTACACTTGGGCAGTTGAATGCACACCAGCACAAATTTCCACAGTTTTAACAGATGGATCGCAGAAATACTCGAGGACTCTCATTTTCTATATTGTTTGCTGCATGACATGGAGGTAACCGTAATAGGTATTGGTTATTTGCCCTTCGTCACCTAGCTTCTACTTCAGATTTGTCTCTGTGAAGAATAGAGGAATACTGTCATACACATGCAATCGAAGTACAACAGTTTGAAAATACTCAAAGTAAAGAACATATCCTTTATTGTCTCGGTTTTGATAAAGTGGCAGTGACGGTTGGTCTTTGTAAGCATTTAGGGAGACCGTTTTTTCTACGCCGGTCTTTCTATGGGTTTTTGATCTGCTCGGTAGGCTTTGGCCAAACCAGGTTCTTTGAGGGCAATAGATGAACCATTAAATGCGTGCCGGCCGATTTAAGTGAGAAAACCGATTCGTCTCTAGCAAATCGCACAGCCTAACTTAGCTGGTTTTTCAAGTGTAATTTCCGTCATTTCGATCATTGGTTGCGGATTACAATGAGCACACTCATTGCACAATGCAAGAAGGCATCCAGAATCTGAATCCTGTTTCCTGCACAACAACTTGCGACAAAGAAAATAAAAAATCGTTCATATGACTAATAACAGTCAGGTCGCTTCAAACAATGAGTCTAAAACTTGCATGTCCTGAACTCAACATGATTCCCCTGGCTAGTTTCGTTGGAAAGAATCAGCTCAGGCGTCACTTTCGCAAGTTTTGTGTAAGCGCTCGTGTCTCGTTGAGCAATAACAACTGTGTAGCATGCACTCGTTTTTTTTTTGAAGGGTAACTGACCGCATACCGTTAGTTCGGAAGGCCTCCGTTTTTTTTTGAAAACGTTGGTGCGCGCCATTTAGAGAACGCGTAGTATGTACCTCGGGTGAATCCGGACACGAATGAATGCACTGGTGACAAACATTTCTAGCGTGCAAATCGAATTCTTATGTTGCGCGCATTTTTTAGTCCATAAGCGAGGTAAGCAGCCTTTATCAACTCAATGTGACGATGTGCGTCAATCATGACATTGAACAGTGAAGCTGTTGCTCCAGGATCGCCCCCGCCTAAGACACACTGATTTGGCCCCACTGGACTAACGGAGCAAGGAATGATGACAGATGTGGAGTGCGATTACAACCCAAATGAAACAGCGTCCTCTGGCAAACAGCTCGTAACGGACACACGCTCGTAAAGCTGTAGTGACAGTGCAGAAGACTCAAAGAGGGCAGGCAGGTCAAGCAGGGCCACCAAAGTTTTTACGTGCCAGAATCGACGGGAATTGTGGAGGTAGCATACAGAGGGTGGCTCAATGTGCAGCCTCTAGAATTATGTTTTGTCCAACTAGATCAAAGGCCCTGTGACTCTCATTGCTGGGCTCGAGTTGATCACATATTTTTTACCTATCATATTCGACTTAGCCCCACCCCTCAAGCACTGCGACCAAGTTCAACCATAATAAATCTACGGTGCTGTTGCCAGCACAATTGGGTAGAAGACCATACCGATCTTGACCGGTATTTTACTTTCCTGCTAAAGCACAATACACACGTGCAATATGGCTGAGTGGCGTACCGTCTTATTGGTTGTCCCTGGGCTGGCTCGCCATCTCGTCGTTTTTCATCAACCAATCGGTACATCGCATTTTCGTACAATGCGCTTGCGTGCGAATCCCTATCTGGCGCAACCACTACGGTATGGAAACGAGGAACTCACCCTCTTCTCTGGTTTGTTGTGTTTAAATGGGCCTTTTTGGCTTATGAGCTCAGGCCCCTGCGCCCGAGTTACCAAAGTAGATCGATAAAACTGAGTCAGATGTTCGGTTCGGCAGGATGCATCTGATCGTCCAAGGATGTGGGATAGACAGGTCGGTCGAACATCAAGAAGCGGAATGTTGATTTAGCGATGAGTGCTGTCGGAGAAGCACAAGTAAGGAAACCTATTCAAGTTCGTCGACCGAACGAAGGACAGCTACCGGTGCCCCTCGCGTAGAGTCGGAAGGCGACAGTGAGCTGTCAGCTTTCCCAATGGCACTGACAAATAGGAAAGCCTCCCTTAAAACCGCAAGCGCCTGCATGAAGAATCAGTCCAGCGGTCTTGTCCATTACAGCTGATTGGATATCAGCCTACCGGAGGGGGATGTCAATTATAGGTGGATCAATAAAAGGCTTACCAGGCCATTCCCACTCGGTTACGTCCCGCCCCCCACCCACGCATTCCTCGCTTACCTACAAGCACTTCTCCGTCATGCGGACTTGTCCGGCGTGTTCTGAAAAACACCAAAAATTGTTACTATTTATCCGTATTTTGATTGCGGCTGCACCCCAGAGGCTAACGCCAGCTATTTTAATTATCTGTATCATGCAGCTAGTTCCATCACCGAGTTAGTACGCAGGGAGACTGCATGCCAAGGTCTAGCCAACCTAGGCGTAAGTGACGCAAAAAGGTCAGTCGATCTCGATCGATTACAGATCAATTTCGCGCGGTTATCATCGTCCATGGAGAAGAAGAAACGTCAGAATCAGGCCTAAGTCATACGGTTCAGTGTTGCAATATTTCGAGGCATACAGTAGGAAGGACTTTGAGAGAGAATCAGCTACACAAGTTTAGAGAACTGTTTGGTATGATGATTCGGAGGAGCGGGACAGACTAAGGTCCCGACTTTTTAAGAATATCTCGTTGATATTCAAAAATTCACTCATTTGCATACCAATTTGGTGTTCACAGGAGACTTGCATGCCAATAAAATCCTTTGTATACAGTGTTCTTCTTATCAGTATTGTTTTGTGTCTTGTATGGATTCGATCCTTTATCAGCATGCCAAAGCTCCGAACGATTGCTGCAGCTTAATGACCATTAGTAGTATTACTATTATTATCAGTAGTAGCACGGTTGTACTACTATTGTTATTTGTTGTTTTCTTTCCTCGCCACAGCATTCTGAAAAACTCAATGGATGCCACCGAGGTGAATTACGGACCGATAGATGACTATCGACAACAGATGGCTATATTCTACATTATATTCTTCATCGTCTTTCCGTTCTTCTTTGTCAATATCTTCGTCGCCCTTATCATCATCACATTTCAAGAACAAGGCGAGAACGAGCTGGTCGACCATGAACTGGACAAAAACCAGGTACACCAGTATAGCCACATGTTCTGTTCCTCAGTTAGGATTGTGCTACCTCGTATGACCATTCAGCTGGAGACTCAGTGAATTCCTTCGTAGACAATAGCACACATAAAAATTCTTTTGCATAATTTGTAACAAACGGACATTCTCGAAGTTCCGTTGCAAAAATATTCAATGAAGTTTCCTCTGTATACAAAACAGATGGTACGGGATGACTGCCCGAAATCCGCAGACAGTCCACTACTGGTTTCGTCCTACAAGGGGATGCACGGAGTCTCCAACTTCAGCAGATTCATCGTGCAAACGATCGCAGAATCACGTAGTGATTTTCTCAGCTTCCGGGGCCTACGCCCATCTGATGAACCCAAAATAGTGCGAAACTCATAGTAGGCTGTCTGCGGATTTTGTGCGATACTATTAATTTAAGTAACAATAACGCCAAACCCTGTTGACAGAAATTTTGTTTTGTTAGACCGTATATGCTATTGGTCTTACCACTACGTCCAAACCCTTGAGCTCGACCGCTTGCATTGCCATCCAGTTTTTCATGAACCACTGCGGTAACCCAATTCAGTATGCTGCGTTTACGTAAACACGTTAAAAATGACGAAAATGATGTATATGCTGATAGCTTCTTTGTTTCACGCAACAGACAACTAATAGTTTGTCCAAGTGCCCCTGTCAGAATACGTTCCTAGACGTCGTTTTTCACTAACCAGATTCCCGCATTCTTCTTATCAGTGTGTCAGTTTAAATCAGCTCGGTTTTTGTTTGAAGAATTTGAGGGTTTCTATCTGAAAATAATTCATTTTTATCCACCCGGTGAGAAATTTCTGATTGCTTCCAAACATTGTAACAGAGACACAATCAATGCTTGCTGTTAGAGTACCGGATAGTTGTACTTCCGCTTATGGATAAAACCTCATGTAAACGAATGGACTGTTGCTCAACTAATAATCACTTGTTTAGGAGAATAACTCATCCTAGATATTGGTGAATCACCAACTGTTTTAGATTCCCATCAAGAATGAAACAGCTTCCCATCGCATCCAAGTTTTCAGCCTATATTGCCTTCATTTGTGGATTAACCCCGTTTGAAACTTTCTCGACATGTCCACAAATCCGTAAGTTTACCTTTGAAAATCATAGTTCCCAGCTAGTCCGAAAAGGCCATTTTGTACGTGACCACTAACAAGGCTTCGTTTCATACCATGCGTGACCTAGCAAGGTTCTTCCGCATATCCTCTCTGACTTAGTGGTGGTTTTGAATTGGGAAATATTTCCCCAAAACTAAACCAAACTGTAACACGTATGAATTCGAATAGATGGAGAAGCATGATTGCCACCGAGATGATTTTCTCTTTGTCTTCTTTCTCAGAAACAATGCATGGAATTTGCAATCAACGCAAAGCCTCTGTGTCGATACATGCCAAGCAATCCGAATTCAGCGAAATATCGTATTTGGCGATTGGTTGTCTCGAGCCCGTTTGAATACTATATTATGATGATGATCGCTCTGAATACGCTTATTCTTATGATGAAGGTGAACGACTTTGGTGACCTGGTTACACTCTTGTCCCTACGCAGAATTTCCCCAAAATACGTGCACCTGTCTAGCCGTCTCTTTTTTAACAACTAAACACTGGCCTGAAAAATAAAACTGTTAATTTTTATAACTATAGTTCATCGGGAACCTACTCACAAGGTTGCTGTAGACTCTTTGACAGTCCACAACCTGTTTCGCACATTTAGTTGAAGAATATCATCAATTAGAGGTTCAGTTGAGTCTCCCGTGAAGACCAAACTGACATACAAATCAGTGTATTTTTCGAATATTGTTCATTAGATTTGGAAAGATATTCCTTAGGAAATGAGCAAAGAGTGCTTTGGCTAAGCAGAGGGATTATTAACGCTGCAAACGTGTTTTGTGCGTGAACGTATTATGAGTCCAGTCTTTATGTAACAGCCATTTCTAAATCAGCGCTTTCCCATTTAGCTGTACATTTGTCTGAGAGTGCTTTCGTTGGATGACTCCCGAACTTCTGCTTGGATAAGTCACTGCATTTCCTCCCATTCCTTTCAGTACTATCGTCCAGACCATACGGAAATTGGCGCAACTACACCGGATTTGGAAACACAAAAATACCAGAATTACTGCAGCACTCTGGTCTACTTAAATACTGCCTTCACTGCCATGTTCACAATGGAGTGTTTACTCAAACTGATTGCTTTCGGCCCAAAAGTAAGTGTGATAAAGCTGCTCGACTGTTTTCAAGTAATGTGCTTAAGATGAAATAAGCAGCGACAGCGTGACAAAAATCAATTTTGTATTGTAGATATATTCGCAATACATCAGCTTGTTTGTGTCAAGGACAACCATCTCTTTATTCAAATTGTTTTCTAAGCTGCCCATTATGCACCTTTTCGTGTGCTTCATTCTGGAATAGTGGAATGTTTGCAGAAATATTCTTAAAGCCACCACACTTTTACGACAAACTGCTGTACAAACTGCAGTACACGTGAAAGACAAATATCGTGGTATGTTGGCTTTGTGGTTGCTTTTCTTATCCGCGAGGCGGGAAACATGCGAATCATGTATAAAATGGTATCAACAAGACGGATGAACAGACAGAGTGACTGAACAGATTGGAATCTATTAGGACGCTTGGCAGAAAACACACCAACTCTTCTACGAGTGTTAGCGCAGATGTCATCAAGAGGTCCGCTTTGTAAGTTGTCAAACCCTTATTGAAAACTGTTCACAGTTAGATTACGATGTAGCACTCCAAGTGCTGCCACAGAACCGAAATCCGAAGCTTCTATCTTTTAGCGAAGCCCTGTAAACCAAAGTTTTCAAACCAGTCACGTGAACGTAAAGGGTTTTAGAAGTTTATCTTTCGTTGCCATGGCTTTGATCAAGTAACATCAGTTTTGACATTCCTGTCGTTGTCCCTTCAAATTCGTGACCAGCCCTGTTTTGTATAAAACCATTACTTTTTTGTCTATAGGCTGATAAGGATATAGGTCTTTTAATTGTACTGATGCGAAAGATAAAAAGGACCCGATACTTTAAATTTAACGTGACTGACTAAGTGAGTGCAAATGGGCTTGAAGTTGGTACTTGGCACCAACGAATGCACCTGCCGAGTACTCAGCAGCACGTTACACTCAGATCTAACGGCCCCATTAAACCCTTGGTGTCTAGATCACAAAAAGTTACCCACTATTAAATGATCCAATATGCCGTTGGACCTCCGAAAAACACTAGAGGTAGGGTAAAACAGTGCGAGTGTAATAGCGGAATCCGTGATTCCTAAATCGATAGAAACGCAGCTCCTAGGGTGGTACTAATTTCAAGCTGTTCCTGCTTTGCAAACCAAAACATATCGCGTTCCTAAGAAGTTATTGCCCCCAGAGGATTTGTGTTTGGTGCCAGTATTCTGATAAGCGTTCTTCAGAGGCGCGCTACCCCTAAAGATCGTATGCAACGAAAAAACGCACAAACGCCACCAAGACTGCCTACGTTTTGAAGACTGTCAGGACGGTCACATTCCTGATAGCAACCACTGAATGCCCGGAATCCACTGGGACCCTCGGCTCTGCTAGAAGTTGACCAGACAGACAACGCCCCCTCAATATGCAGCGCGTCACAGCCTTGTACGAATTCCAGACAGCGAGAGTCAGCGTTGATCAAGGTCAGAGAGTGCCCTTGCAATATGCATCATGTCACAACCTCATACCAAAACCAGACCGCATAGGTCAGTATTGGACAAAGTTCAGACAGAGTCCCTCTAATAAATAGCCTGAGTCCGTTGTACATTCGCACTCGCACGCACTCACGCTCTCGCATTCGCTTGTTCGGAATATGGCTGTTGTGTTTCCTTCTGTGAGTCTTTTCTTCGGCAACTAGGCACTGGAGCGGGTCAGCAGCAGATACGTCAGACTGGCGAATCGGTAGATATAACAAATACACAGGCAGATTGTTTTGTCATGTAATGCCGTGTTGAGTGAGTTCCGCAAAGCAGTTCCCAAAGCAGTGATGCCGACGGTGTCACTGCGGTATCACTCAAAATGAACCTCATTTCAGGACCACATGTAATGATCCTTGTAAGGTCCAATACTGTCCATTGTCATGGGGGATGCGGTATACTCCAAGGACCCCCTAATCGCAACAATACCATACTTTTTCACACCTGGACGTATCCAAACGTTTCCTCACTATATTACTAATACATTACTCATAAGGTTTCTGAAAATTCTTCAACTGCCCACAATCAGTTTTGCCCTTCTTGAGGCTGATCACCAAAATCAAATTCAGAAACTCCCGCCAACAATGTAGATCAGTGTCTTTTTTCGCAAAGACCATCCTAATGCCCCAGATGAGTCCGATTGGCTATGCATCAATTCGCATTTCACATGTGGCATCCTCATTGTCCGCCGATGTGGAGTCGACCGATATGGGTTTGACTAGGTGGTTGCAAGGTTACGAAAACAGATGGAAACGAACGTGCTACTCACAACAATGCTAAAGTCTCTTCGATAGCCAGCGACAAATTTCATCTCACTTGGGACACAGTCGAATTGAACGCAATTCGCGAGATAAACTCATTTGCAGAATAATTTGGATTTAACGGGAGACTAACTAAACAATATCATAAGCGAATAGGTCAGCGGAGATTCACCTGAGTCTCCCGTTAAAACAAAATTTGGTTGCAACTAAGGTGGAAACTAACTTTTGTAAACGTGACGCAATTACAAACCATGCACGTTGCCTTGCTGCATAAAATAGTACAATGAGTCCGCACAAACCTGGGCGAAAATAGATGTCCATGTGAATGGCATAAAACTACGCACAGAGTCCCGCTGACGTCTGTACGGACATGGAAACTAGAAGAGCCAATTCAGAGACAACATTCTTTTGGTTGTAAAGCAGAGTGAAGCATACGTGAAAAAGATCATCATTTTCAAGGACCAAATAAATTCAAAACTGTAGACACTTTTTACAGTGCTGTATAACATTTAGCCCAGTACTGCAGACAACGAGAAACAATCCCCTCACGTCGAAAATAGAAGGATGCCTTATACAAACAAGCAACTAATAAACACTCACTCCTTTGATGGAGCTTTGCTGGAAATTATGGTCCATCATATCTTTTCCATCTGTGAAGAACATAGGCGACCCAAATTGGTTTTGAAAAGTTACGTCACCAAAGGGGAGACATCTCTATTGCTTTCAAAACGTTTCTCAATTACTGACAACAAGCCATTCATAATATATTTGAGGTACAACTCCATACCGAGTCTCAGATTTGTCAAAGTATCTTACAGTGATTTGTTCTACAAAGGGTCAGGGCAAAATGAGTTAGTTATAGTGAAAAGAAGAGGGGCCCTCGCTTCGGAGTTGTTCAACTAAACAGTTACAGACTATTGGACAAGAAGGCAAAACTCTCATATGTATCTTGCTCATAAAAACTGAGTATCCGCCTTCTTCTCGAACGCATCTTCCTGAATTTTCCTGGATATTTATTGACTATCACTCAAATGTAAATGAACGCTACAAAGCAATTCCACAAATTCCATTATAAACCACACCTTCCAATAGACGTGAAGATGATTTACGAGAAAACGTACTACTCGCACGCTTCATCAGTAGTGTCAACGTCACAACAGTATACTGTCTGGTTGAACACGTACGGCCGTGTTGATCTTGGGCAAGCATATTCATTGTTAACCTTGTTGTTGTTCTGATCAGACTATCATGAATAGACAAGAAAAAACAGTCCGTCACCAGTTCCGTCAGCATCAAACGAATGATACAGTAGTTGGTTCCGATGCATGTAAATTCGATCATATTTACTGTGCCTTCCAAAACACCGAAACTTTATATTACCTACAAGCAAGAAAATAGTGATAAACTTGAGTGAAACCTATCAGTAACGGGGACTCAACGAGGAATCAAACAAAAGCGAGTAAGGAAAAATTACTCCATGTCCTTTGAGTCTTTAAGCCCTTGCAAGCTTAGGATATCTGGTCATCCCTGTTCTATAATTTTAACTTGAAAGTGAGTGATTCTTGTGCCTAGGCAAATTGACAGTTCATTTCACGCCCCCGTAGCTCAGAATCTAGCATCTCAGTGAAATAAAGTTAGTCGGAAAATTTGTTTCCTCTTTTTTTACAGAGCTATTTTCGTGATCGTTGGAACACCTTCGATTTCATCACTGTAGTCGGTAGCATAACCGATGTTTTGGTTTCTGAGTTGCAGGTTAGTGAATGTTTTTTGCCTGTTTTCAGCTTGATTCAAGTTGATCTGGCTGTTGTGGTGAGTAGAAGATACGAATGACAGTCACGCACCCATAGACGGGTTAGCAGATGAGATTGGATGTTTCACCTTAGTGAAACGTTATAGAACAGTCCATGTTTTCAAGCAAATCTCTATCCGCAATCGGAGTGGAGAGGCTTTGCACATTCCGTAAAAATTACCGTATAAACATGCGGAATTTATCAGGACTTGTTCTTGCAGAAATTTAGAGGAAAAGACAAGGAGGTGGATAAGGAGTAGTTGAGAATTCTAGGACATTTCCGGCGTTAGTTGTCCCATTCAACTTATCTTCATGTTGTAGTCATGTTGGCCCGCGAGTGCACACATGTGCTGTGAGATGAGATCAATCACTGACTCGTGCAGCATTGGTGGTCAAGCCAGCTGGATGTACTGGGGCATAAGTGACCTGAAAATCATGGGAAGCGTGAGTGGTTCGGCTCAGCCAGTATCTCCATGGCAACTTCGTCCACAACGCTATGGCGGTTGGATATATTCAATGAAAAACAAAACCGTTCTGACGTCTACAGGAGTAACCCTGCTTCGAAGAAAATGCTTCTGCTGGAATTGCCTGTGCATCTTATTCTGCTGAGAAGTCGGATTAGCAGTTTGTAGTCAGAGATATATTCACAACTTCCAGCGGTCCGTTCGATCCAGATGATAATAATCCATTTGTGAGCTAAGAACGCCTAGTAAAGGACATCTCCATGACCTGTAATGAGGCCATAGTTGAAGCCTGTCACGTTGTATGAATGGTGCACCCGGTGAAAAGAATCCAAGACCGCCCATCAGTCAGTAGGCTGTAAACTGAATGCACGACTGTAAGATGCTTTCCCGTCATAGTCCTTTTTCTCCTATGATAGCCGCTCCAGTAAGTATTTCAATGCAGTCCACCGTCTATTATATTTGTGCTTTACCTATCTGACTTGACTTCAGATCACAGTTAATTTCGCCAGTCAACATAACGTCCAAAATAGCACCACTGGAGTGTCATAAACGGGATTCCTTTCCAAACATGAGCTGATGATGCGTCTAATTGGTAAACGATCGTTAGGGATCACCTCAAAATCCAAGTCGAGTTTTCAGGCAGCCGTATCAACTGCAATGGGATGGAGAATAAATGTAAACTATGGAACTAATTATGTAATATGCTGGATGCCGTGTTTAACGTTCTTTTTACATTCGCATTTCTTTAGAATCTTACGTTTGTGTTCATAAGGAAAGGGTTTCCTGAATTACCTTTGTGGACATGGGAGTGGGCTCTTAGGGTCGGTCTATCGAATTTACAACGGATAAAGTGTTATTCGTAATGCACTACCCATAAGGATGATGAAAATTCTTCGACAACCCACGACCGGTTTCGCCCTTTTTGGGGCTCATGAGACAGGCGCATTCCCCGAGTTTCCGTCAACCATATGTTTTACTTGAAACCAAATTGCACGAAATTAGCGAAATACACTCATTTACAAACTAATTTGGTTTTTCGAGAGACTCGCCTGGAGCCCAGCTGAATCTCTCGTTTGTGGTGTCTCCAGACAACTGAATATGCTGCAACGCCTCATGTTTCAGTTGCTACGATATTCGAGATATCGCAATACATATGTATTCGTATATTCATTGCATTTTGCGATCTGGTACCGTAACAGGTTTATCCATTTAGGTGATCAGAATAGGGGAATAAGTGACATAATTGGATCCAGATTTTCGCGTATGACATCCATAGTAGATTGCTTTGCACTGTTTATCCGGTGTTTATATCAGGTCTAGTCACAAGACGGGGCTTTCAGTTCAGCATAAGATGCACTGACGCCAAGGAATGCGGACTCAGTAAACGTACTCATTTTTGTTTTCTATAAGTGAAAGTATGGGGGCGAGTTTACGTAGGCGTTCACAAAGGCGAACAGCTCACCCTTCAGAATTACGGAATCTCCTGATGACAGGCCATTTCTTATTTCATTATCTATAGTGTGTTTCCGTATATCTCTAATCTCTTCTAAATGCTATGTACAAATTTATTGGAAAGCCACGGAGTTTCTCCTACCTTCGTTCTTCGTTGTGCGACGGACGTAAATTTACTTTTGTTTGCTGAATTATCGTACATCCTCTGTAATGTTTAGGCGGGATCACGAAGGGTGTTTGCACACCCGCTACGAGGGATAAAACACAAAACATGATGCACGAGACTCTCCTAACGAACTACTCGAAATGGTATGAGTTCAGGCCAAACATGTTAAGTTGTGTGTGTATCCATTGATTGCAACTTGTTGAATGCACAACACTGCAGCTTCCTGACTCGATTGCATCAGTTTAAATGATACCTGCATTGGCAGGTAGAAGTCTTTTTATTCGAATCAGAGCCCCACAAATCTGGCAGAAGCTGACTAGTAAACTATGACGCTTTTTCGTGAACGTGGGTTGAAACGGATCAGATTGCAGCGGTCTATCAGTGATTTTGTACAAGTTAACCACCTGCACTAAAAGTCTCCTCACTGCGCCGACTTACACAAGACTTATGTCTCAGCACCTGATTCCACTGCAAATTCTCACATTCGCTTCATCTTGAACACAAATCAGAACCCTCTGATTAGTTCCTCCTGTAACAAGCGAGTTCTTTCAATTTTCCAGTAGTCTGTCAATTTCTTGTAGGGTAAAAATTGTGTAGTTCTAGAAATGTGGTGGATAGGAAGTAGGATTTCGAAGACCATAGTAGGTCAAAGTTTGTCTTACTTGGTTATTGCGATAGTGAAAAATCGACACATTAGCAACTTTCTCTAGCCGGATTGAATTGAGCGGCTGGTATTCTGAAACGCTCCCATGTAAAGTTGTGTAAAGCGACGTGGCTAGACCGCAACTAGACAAAAGCATCACATTGAAATCACAATAAACACCCACTTATTCACAATCTTTTCCTTCCACAGGACTCTTCTTTCCTTAGTCTTGGATTTTTGCGACTGTTTCGAGCTGCCCGACTTATCAAGCTCATCCGTCAAGGCTACACCATACGAATTCTGCTTTGGACATTCATTCAGTCGTTCAAAGCTTTACCCTATGTGTGCCTATTACTACTGATGCTGTTCTTCATTTACGCTGTCGTTGGGATGCAGGTGAGTGATTTGGTCATGTTTTTTATCATCTCAAATGACCTTGCCTACTGTCATGTATATGTAATAAAATAATCGTCCACCTGTAACAACCTTGCGGTGCCTAGCCGCTGCCCCAATTAAACGAAAGGGACGAGGTACTGCCAGGTTGCCCAATCCTAGATGGGAGCGTTTGAGATGTCGGGGCTAGCTTCGAACCACGGGCCTTCCGAACAGTGAGTCTGCATCCTAACCACTGAGTTATCTCCGGCTATCTGTCACTTAGCGCTAAATCGAGCGGCAAGATTACCAGGTGGGCATGTACGAACACAGAAAAGAAGTTTGGCTTGCAGAGCTTGAGTAGAAGGCCTGTGTAATTATGGTGTGGATCCAACGATAGACACTGGTGAGGCAATCAAACCGAGTCTGACCTACAGCACGAGTGATCTGTCACCTGAATCCCACGTAGGGCTCACCATAAATGCGACGTGGCGCAACTTCCGTTGTTGATCGGTCGATAAATTGCCCATCCTGTAGAAGAAATATGATAAGTTCAAGTCCACGCACACTAGCTGAGTTTCAGGCTCTAGGTGATCTTGTGTAAGGACGGATTGTGAGCTGTCTCACGTAGTTTTCATATTGGACCACCATATCAGGCAGTCGTCTGTGATCACAATCTTTCTCAGCTATTAGAATCGAATAACATTCCATCTCCCCACACAGAACAGGCGTACAAATGTTTCATTTGTTATCTATTTGGGGCTCGTGTGAGAAGGCTGTGTGGTGGTGCCTAGTGCCAGTGCTCCAGAACTAGACTACAGCTGTGAGATATCACACCTCCATATTAGGAGCCAGAATCCAGTGACGGAGAAACACTCTATGTTTCTGAGTATTCTGTTTTAAATTTATCCTGTTGAAGAAGTGAAAATTATTCTCAACTTCCAGTACTACCACCTATGAAACCGCCGTTCGATTGGCTCCGTACGTCAATAACTTTTGGGGGAAGGACAGGAGTGTGCGGAGGCTCACTGGGATTATTCCTGCATAAAATCTATACTGCACGGCACACCTTCAATCCTATATGCACCATACGGACCAAAACTCAAAAACAGTACATCAGCAAATTTAGATAACCCTACCGTATAAAGTTAGTCTCATGTTTTTCATTGAAAAATGCGCTGAACCTAATTTCTTCTGGTTCGTTCTGTAGGTCTTCGGTCAGATTGCCATCAACGATGCTGAGGGACAAATTACCAGCTACAACAATTTTCACAGTTTCGTGTGTGCTGTTCTTTTGCTGTTCCGGTAAGTCGACGAATTTTGAATAATCAATCGAATAACTGTTTTGTTGTCAACCGGCAACCTACTTTACAAGAATACTAGATTGTCCAGTGTTTTTCCGCTTTTGAATGTCTATGTGAATTATGAGTAGTGTGTTCATTCCAAACCAACGTTCAGCATCTTCAACAAATGCTCATCAGTACCATTCTAATTAAGACACTGCAGGTTTCTCTTTTGGAGAAGTCTATCGCTCAATAAGTATTCTAAATCTAACGGATTTTTGAAAAATTTTCAATTATATACTGAGATCCATTCCTCACCGCAATTATCAGAACACTTCTGAGGTTCTGACGCGATTTCTCTCGAAGTTCTGTGCCATCCACAACGCCTCACCAGTCAAAACGTAGGGCGCGTGGATACTGCAGTGTCATATCTCGGCACTAGTACCATTCTAATTAAGACACTGCAGGTTTCTCTTTTGGAGAAGCCTATCGCTCAATAAGTATTCTAAATCTAACGGATTTTTGAAAAATTTTCAATTATATACTGAGATTCATTCCTCACCGCAATTATCAGAACACTCCTGAGGTTCTGATGCGATTTCTCTCGAAGTTCTGTGCCATCCACAACGCCTCACCAGTCAAAACGTACGGTGCGTGGATACTGCAGCGTCATATCTCGGCACTTACCGAAACGTATCTGAACCGAAAGTTCATTTAAACCATTTGACTTTAAAGTCATGGCGTAGTCATCAAGGTACGTAAATTCATCATAGCTAATGCTAATGCAAAACTAGGAACGGCTGTGTATCAGTAGCCGAACAGTACAGCGTGAAAAAACCCCTGCTATCGCAGGCGTGCTCGGCGCTCAGCCATTGAACCGCTTTCGGCGGACCAATCCGCACCGGATGTCAGCCAATCAAACCGCAGATAGCTAAACATTCATTTCCCAGGTTCCATTCTGACATACTACCTCCAAGGGGAAGGGAGCGGGTGCGAAATAGAAATAGGACTCATCAACTACCTACATCTAAAGCGTCCAAACAATGATAAAATGTTAGCTTCTGGCCACATCGCAACGTGAGGTCAATGATCACTTTGGACAAACAACATGTCAGAGGCCAGTTTGCTTGCATAAAACACTAGCGGATCGATGTAACTTGAATCTCGACGGTTTCAAACCGTTCACCATTCGAACTTGATCCATATCGGAATTACCCTGAGGTCAAGGTTCCCTGAAGGCATCCGGTGACTCACCTGTCCGCCAATACAAAACCAGCCTCAGTCAGAAAATGTAGCTCCACTACAACTTATCCAAAACTCAAAAGAAGTTCTTCACGTGACATTTCGTGAAAAGTGCAAGCCCTGGTGCTTAACCAGCCTCAGTCAGAAAATGTAGCTCCATTACAACTTATCCGAAACTCAAAAGAAGTTCTTCACGAGACATTTCAAAGACCGTTATACGTTACAGCGGCAGTCAAATTCAATATGAAACTATAGCAGGGAAATGTTCTGACATCCTCTCGTTCTACCAATGAAAGGAGTTGCTTACTAGAGAAACACCAACTGAACAGTTACAGACTATTGGACAGGCGAGCAAAACTCTCATATTCATCTTGTTTACAAAACTGAATATCCATACTGGAAATTCTGGATATACATTGACTGTTACTTAAATGCAAGCAAATGCTACAAAGCGACTATACGAATTCCGTAAGAGATCTTGCTTTTCAAGAGACGCGAAGCTAGTTTACGAGAAACCATACTACTCGCATGCCTCATCAGTAGTATCCACATTTACACCAATAATTTATCACAGCGAAGTCACCAGTATCCTATCGCTTATGGACTTCCTTGGGAGTGCCTTATGTTATCGAATTTTTCATCCAGCTTTTTTTACACCGATGATATCAACAGACATAATGTGTTTATCAGGACAATCATCCTCTGAAAGTCGAGCGGGTTTATGTGATGCTGACCACGAACTATTTGTCGAATCTGAGAATTCCTACTCCAAGTTTGACAACATAAGTCTTAAGCAAATAAAGAGGACAATCATCCTCTGAAAGTCGAGCGGGCTTAAGTGATGCTGAACACAAACTATTTGTCGAATTTGAGAATTCCCGCTCCAAGTTTAACAACATAAGTCTTAAGCAAATAAATCAGCCAGGGTGCTCGGTATTCTTTTGTCTATCCAATTCCCTGTATGTGTGCGGTGTCCATTGCTAAAACCGACATCAATGCCCAAATTATAACAGAACGTTGGAAGAATTCTCAGCACTATGAACTTAAGTGGCAGAATAGCCCACAAACTAGAGACTTAGAAAGAGATTTTCGCGCCAGCGTTGACATCAGAACATCTTTCTCAAAGGAAGCTCGATCTTCTGTCACGTGATTTTGTGCATGTAACCTTGCAAATGGACGACAAACCGATTATTAGGACCTTAAACTTGATTAACAGATGCCAGCGTTGACATCAGAACATCTTTCTCAAAAAAAGGTCGATCTTCGGTCACGTGATTTTGTGTATGTAACCTTGTAACTGGATGACAAACCGATTATTAAGACCTTAAACTTGATTAACAGATGTCCAGTCGCTAGAATGCAGTTATCGAAATGGTTAGGTGAAACCTCAAAAGCTGTCTGATAAATAGCTATCCTCTTGGACAGAAGAAACAGACGTTGCACTTTGGAGACTCTTTCGAACTTTGCGTGGTGCGACACCACTCGAATGTGGGAGGGCTGCAAGAGAATGGAGTGGTAGTTCTTTGTTGAGTAGTGAGATACAGCGTAGTGTAATCGACGTTTCGTATCACACTGATGGCTCACTTTACTTCCTCATCCAGTTGCGGATGTCGTACTTTCCGAATACTGTTAGCCGCTCGTTGTAGACTGAGAAACTGTTTCACTTAACATGAACCAGATACACACCGCACAGTCAGAGTAACTTACATGGGTCAGGAAACCACGCTTTTCACCTTGTTGAGGGGACTTCGTAGAACTGTTTGCTTCTTTAACCTTTATTCCATCAACTTTATTTCTCATTTGATGGTCTGGTACACAATATCAACGAATCCCGTGGATTCATTGTGGCTGCAGTTGCTAACAGACCTTTCAGAGGCTGGATTCGGGAGCCTGGAAATATGATACCAGCTGGAACACAATGACACAATGACCCAGGAGTACGCTGCGCCAAAATGTTATCCCCACTGGTACGACAAAAACAAAAAAAGAGCTCCTTGGGCGAGGCAGATCGAACACTTATTACTGTAGTCGTATGGCTTAGTTCTTTCTAAGGTACTGTGCCTAAGGCACAAGGATGAGAGACTGACAAGCTTGGTCGTTGTTTGCACTCAGCGTCCGATCTCTTCCGATAGTATCCGAGTTCACTCGGTTGTATGATGGTCCTTGACATGGAACCGGCACGCAGCACTGAGTAGCTCCACTAAGAGTAGAGCTCCGGTCCAGTATTCATCTGGACTAATGAAATTAGACGTATAAGTTCTAAGGGAAAAAATGTTTTCATCGCGTGGGATGTAGATAATTATTCCACCTCTTAATTACCCGGAGTCCTAATTACAGAGACAACACAATAATGAGGCAAGAAATAATGGGATACTCTCATAATAACAGTAGCTGTGACAAAATCAGACGCTATCCTGCATATGGCAAATTGCCGAATCAGAGCTTCCCATACTCCGGTTCGTTTTACCCAGCAAAGAAGCCTGAAGTACTATATCGTATATCCTTATATTTTTCAAATGTGGCATACATAGTTGACCAGTCTTGTATACAGTATACAGTATGTATACAGTTCCTGATGGTACTTTCGGCTTTGGAAACTATCACCGCCTGTTCCAGAAACATAGTCGGTGATCAAAAGTCATCCTTTTCGGAGACTGCTTCAGGTGCGAGTGGTACAGAGCATTGTTACATGCAACGGCCGGTCTGCTCGCGTTCTGTGAATGTACGCTAATCAGCAACTTTCACAAAAATTAGTTGCAGAATATTTGGCAGCAAAGCCGATGAAACCAGTTGCTGTTACTCCATCAGTAACTTACGAGTTCTTCACTTCTGGCTATAATGGCATGGGCCAATGTGCCTCTTAGTGACCGACCCCTGTTTCAGTAGTGAAACAGGTTTAGAAATGTTTCATTGACCAAAACGACCAGTCCGTCGTCCGCCTCAACCTGTACAACTGTAAAAACCTACCTCTTCCTTAGTTGTTTATTATCCATTGGGACCCTCATCTGGCATATAGGGTATAATTCCTTTAGTTTGAACATGCATCCACCATGTTACCTGTCTAGTGCCGTTGAACTCACATCTTTGTCAAATTTGGCAACTAGTTAGACAGCGTCACCGTCAGATCCCTTTCAATCCAGCGAACCATTTCCTATGCTCTTGTGCTGTTCAGAGCACGATTTCGAACGCTGTGTCGTTATGGGATCTTAGCTTCAGTCGCCTACGCAGTAACCGGCTACCTACTGCTTCATTTCAGGTAGTGCCACACGGTTTTCCCACTCTTTTTCATTCCTAAAAACGTCTGATAACCCAGCTGTCAGCAGAATATCGGTTACTGGATGCGACAAGCCATATAACGGCCTTTGTCCCACAAGCAAACGATTTCAGTTCTTTTGGTAGGATCAGGTAAACGAGATCAGCCAATCTAGTAGGAGCTATCTCTTTCATGTAGTGGCTTCCCTGAACCGTAACCAGGATTGAAAAATCAAGGAAGCTTCCCGCCCCATTCACTGATGTGGTGGAGACACATAAGTAGATGCGGGGCCTCTTATTGGTTCTGCGCCGCACCTAGCTCATTGGTCAGCCTTGCTGGTTCAGCACTGACTTGGCTTCCGTAGGACAGCACGGCTCGCGGACAGGAGCGTAGCGCTGACTCATGCTATTTTCGAGCCCACCAATTTAAGTAGGCGCCCACCCTCGATTCAAATACGGTACTGGTGCAGCCTCGGGCACACGCCATGGCGACCAGTCCATGTCCTGATTCTGGTCTTTGATGTGTTACCGGGGCGTAGCGTCTATTGTCCAAAGCCCAGTACTCACGGCATGGAGTGTTGCCTGAAACAATGTGGTGGACTTCTGAAACGATGGACTAGTGGCACTAACCGGAACACATTATGCGAGTACGCTTCATCGGCACGTCACACCATTCATTTTTCGTGGATTCTGGTGTACAAATACCCCTCAAAATGATGCCAAAAGATCGAATTTCGAATTTTCCAATTCAACAGCATATGCGGTATGGCGATCTGAAAGCACGCTCAGTTCGCCAATCAGTGAATTCACCTGCACCTACTTGTGCTGCATTCCAGGTTTCGACAACTAAGTTCCAAGTTGTTTACTTGTCCGACTTCCGCTTGACCAGTGACAAACAACCCATACCTCTGAAACCGCACTGACGATTCTTCACCTTCATACCGAATTAAGCGAATTCGGTAACACTCAGTCTCCGGTTCTACTGGAGCAATCAGCTAGGCTGCCTCCAGGATGTGTTGTATGGTCCAGTGCATCACTTTTCTAGCTTAGTTAGGTCTGAATTCGGTGCTCTGAAACAATTTTGGGATTTTTAAATGGACCGTTCGAAGCCAGTTGATTCACGTTCAACTGATCTATCGCTCTATTGTAGTAAACTTGATCAAATTGGAATATCCATATTGAGCACGGCACGGCTGGGAACTTCTTTGTTCCAAACAACTTTCCCTATTAGAAGGCGAAGAACTGATGCTGATAGCACACGTAGGGGAATAAAGGCTCTACCAAGCGATACATTTGTGATGTTTTTCTCCCAATCTGTCGAGTAATACACTCGGAAAGCCTCACTTCATGTTTAAGCAAATGAGTTCGAGCCCAAGTCTTATGCTGTAGTTTGACGCGTTCGAAAAATTTGTACCATCTCCGTTCTTCAAGCGATTTCGGAATCAGCATAGTCTGTCTGGAGGTGCTTCGAAATCTCAGGAAATACTGGAATAGCAAATTCATTCGCTTTCAAAGCTTCTTCAACTGGCTAAATATGGAGCGAAGCGACGACACTAGGGGGTAAAATTGCACCGCGAATGGCCAGAAAAGTTACCCATTAATTAGATGGCATGTGCTTGTTGGGGCAGGTCAAAGGTGCTTGCTTTACGTCCGAAGTAAACCAAGGTCTTTGACAAACAGTTTGCGTGCGCGGAGCCTAGGTTTAGACAGCCGGATAGCAACAGTCTCATCTGCCGTTAACGCACGTCTGATCTGTCCAGGGTAGCGACCTGAAATGTGCTAAATCGATTTGAACTCTTGATTGATGTTCATCCGGTGATAAGACTGGACCAACTGAGTTAGGGCGGTGGTGGTCAGGAAATGCTTGTGAACAGTTTAGGTAGGCATCCAGTCACCTTCACAGAACAGCTCGCTCGACAGAAACACCACTGTTTGAGTGGATTCGCAGACAAAGTAGTGCTTATACAACAGAAGGAGGTGCATCGATTGGAAAGCTTAGACGACTGATTGAAGCGATATTCGAGCGCTTCAATAACATCCATGTCCACAAAGGTATTGGCAACAAATCTACCATGAGCTGGGGCAAGCCGTGAAGCAATTAAACGGGGAATGAATACAGTTATGCTGCCAAAGTCTTGACACTGAGTTGCTCAATCTAGATTTTTTACCCACTGGCTAAAATGACCATCACCATTCCTCGTACTGTCTGGTGACAAATAAAGACAAATAATTACGGTCGGTCCGATCTTCTATTACCCTTGGTGTTTACACAATCGAAGTAGTATCCGTTCTATTTAAGTCGTACTTTTACCGGAAAATAACTGACTGTTGGGGTGAGGCTGAGAAAATACTTACGCCGACTAAAGGAACAAAGTTAAGCAAGACAGTTTGCGCCTCCATTGCTCTAGAGCCGTTTGAAAGTGTTCTTGAATCGGGGTAACCAAGATTCGCACTGGTGTGCCTATTGACAGTCTCGCTCCACGGTCAGCACTCTACGTCTGTCGTACATTCGCTACGCAGGTGCTTTTCTTAACGTTGATACAGAATGGTTACTAGAGCTTTTTACCGATACAGGCAACGAACAGAGCCTGAACACTTCATCTAGAGATTAACCCATTAACTGTTGATCAGCTTGAGTGCCCCGTTCAAACTCTTGGGACCGACCGACAGAGTTTTCCTGGTGTCATTTTTCTCCCCTTTTTCGCCCTGAGAGTAAGGGGCATGCCCACTCATGATCCAATCTTTTGGTTCGAATATGCCGATCGGGTGCAACTATCATTTGTCTGAAACACGCCTGAATTTACAATCTGTATTAAACAAACTTGTGAGCTAATCAGAGGAACATGTCCTCCTTCATGGTTTTGAAATACAAAGGTGTCTTTGACGAAATGCGCTCATTTATCAGCTAACTTAGTGTTAATGAAAGGCTCAAATGAATCCCAGATGAATCTATCCCTTATGAAATTCTCCTTCAATTGAATGTGCTGCACAAAGGCCGCTTTATTTTTCCGTTGGTGTGATGTTCAAGATATCGCAAAATATTTGCAAGTGGGTGTAGTTCGCCGATTGCATATAGTTTGGTGTTGGAGTGAAACATAAGGTTGATGAAAACTCGGGGCCTGCACCAACCTGCTGAGCCCCATGATTGGCAAAATCGGTCGCGGACTGCCGGAAGTTTTTCCACCAAAGACGTCGTCTTTTCCCATACCTCCGCTCCACGGTACAATTAATTCTACAGCTATCCTTGTTCTAGGTCTCTTTCTCCCAAGGTGTGATCTAGGTGTGATCCCACCAAGTAACCCTGGTATCCAAGCTCTCTTTAGTAGAGTTTGACGTCTGGTCCTTTGTACCGAGTCTGACAGCGCTTCCTTAGTTTTGTTGTCACTAGTATCACCCCTTGTTACATTCTAGCGACACTTAGAAAAAGACCGCTGCTTTATACTCAGGCAGCTGAGACACCTCTCAAGGCTCAGTGGAATATTCAGAGATGTCCTGCCATCTGTCTAGGGAACACTGTACTGTACTCACTGTAGTAACTTTCTTCTCGTTGTAGACACCGAGTGTGGTGTGAGATCTCTGATATTTCCATACTGTTCTGCTGTACTAGGCACAGATAATACATACAAGATATGTTCGAAACCTACTTGTGACGTGTTCTAAACACAAAGGAAACGTTAGCACAAGCTCTAGCTAAAAGGCTGTTTCAAAGTAAAGGTAATTGAAGGAGAAATAAGAGGAAATAACTGGGCTGAAAATCCCTTTGGACGACAGTGGACAATCCATCCACCTCACTCTCACAGAGAATCCTAATTAGGATGGTTCATAAGTGAATCGCGCAGTAGACAGCGACCATCCAGTTAACTCTGAAGAACCGGACTCACTGCAAATTGGCTTGGATAACCGCACCGAAAGTCTTTATTAATTATGTCATTAACAGACACAACGAATGTGGTTATAAAAACTACAGTACCGAACTTTTGACCAGATGGATCGTACTGATTACCGGTGGCGACCGCACTATAACCGATGGACGACTACGGTGCGGTACACCAGCCAACAGTAACACTAGCAGGCAGCGTACCGTGCATGTCTTGCATTGTTTCCGGGCAAGTAATTTATCACTTGTTTCTAATTCTGTTGTTATTCTTGAGGAAGACTGCGGTTGACAAACCGGAACGTCGGGATACAACGTTAATCTCTTCTCAAGTTTTTCCGCAGGAAAAACGTGTACACGGTGCACAAGCTGTTTGAACACACCTTAACTACCGACAGGTCGGAAAGCATTTGCAAACAATGTAACACCTGCCCCAATTTCATTCAAAGAACTTTCTTGATACCTTTTAACCTATTCAACGTTCACAAAATGAAGTCACCTCTACCTCATAAAAAAATCGCTCAGCTGTAACACCCGCCCGGTGCCCAGCTGTCATGCCACCCGAAGGAAGCACAGCGGCTGAGATACTGTCAGGTTGCCCAAGCCTAGACAGGGAAAGTCGGGAGGTAGGGGTTGGGTTCGAACCACCGATCTTCCGGTCAGTAAATTCGCGCTCGAACCTTTTGAGCTATCTCGCCCTCTACATCATATACTTATTCCAAGTACAAACTGTCACCCGCCAGAAATTCCATTTACACAAATTACTCGAACTCTGATTTAACCCGTCTAGAATTTGGTCCCACTTTCCTCAACAACGCCTTTGCCTCCTCGCTGCTAGTTTAAGACGTACATTACTGAATATTTTGCGTGTCTGATTGGACTCCAGCAAATATAGAATTATCATATCATTTTTATACAGTTCCATTGTAGATGTGTACACAGAGTAGAGTGAATTACGTTCGGTTGTCTTGCGTGGAGTCATCCAACTGCTGTTGCCACAATCATATCCAGTTTCCGTATTACTCAAAGTATTGTTGCCACGATGGAGAGGATTAGTGTAAAAGCGAATTTTGTGAATAGTGAAAGGACATGTCAGCACCATCTGAAGGCACAGAACCCATCGATCATAAAGTGCTGTGTACAATTTTTCAGGCTTTTGTTAAGGATGAAGTGAGAACCTGTTCCTAATTAGACCAGACGCTCCTGGATTTCTTTTCGGCTAAAGTACACATATCAATTTTTTGGGATCTTCGATTTTTGGATCTTTGACCGCAGTACCGAAGATGAGTGCTTGAACTAAGTCCATTTAAGGATTTTTCTATCTAATTGGGGTCTGATTTACAGGATTAGTGCCTGGAATCTCTGTCAGCATTTTCCCATAATCATCGGGGAAGCCCCATATGCATGTCCAACACGTGGTTGCTGTGTTTGAGTCAGCATACCCTTTAGTAGGATTTTCAGTAAATTGCATTATTCCAATCCAGCCGTACTTTTTTCGCTTCTTTCTTATCGTCTAGTTGTGCCACTGGCGAATCCTGGCAAGAGGTGATGCTCGGCTGCACCGATGGTCAGGAGTGCGTGAACAAATCTCAATCTGGCTGTGGTAGCGCGATCTCCTACGCCTACTTTGTTTCCTTCAATTTTTTGTGCTCTTTTCTCATGCTCAACCTGTTCGTAGCTGTCATTATGGACAATTTTGACTACCTCACCAGAGATTCATCTATCCTTGGCTCACACCATTTAGACGAGTTCATACGTGTTTGGGCAGAGTATGACCCACAAGCCACGTAAGTTTCGGCACACAATCGGTATTTTACGATAAACGCATCTTTTGCGAGATATTTCAGGCAGGTTAGTATACAGGCATTATTTTTGGCTGCGTATCGAAATAACACCGTCCGATATTTCGTCAGAAAATCTCGTTGATTTAATTAGAAAGATTTACTGCTCTGTACTTCCCTAATGCCCCCTTTCGTTAACATCAAAAAATGCCCAATGGGAGATTCCACATAGTATTTACGTGTCCTTAACAGTCCTTTGAAACGAAATCTCAGGAGTTCCTGGTCAAAATATTGAACGCCATGTGATGTGTAATATGGAATTTTTTAGAGACAAAGCAACTTAGTGGGATAATATGTTGTAATCTGACATTTCACTTCCCGTGGCGAACCTTTTTCAAGGATTTTTACAATCAATTGAGGACGAGTCAAATGCAGCGTCATTTGGATCCACTGGTTTGTCTTCTGATTGGTGTGTTCCTGTGATCAGTTGCGACCAGTGTTTGTGGGTGTGTTAGCTCTGTGTGCGTGTACGCGTGATTGTGTGTGCCTCTGTTTGCTGCTGTCCTGATGCGTCATTGTTGAGGACCCGGTTGGACAAGTGGCCACCATGCAAGTTCAGGCTAGATAGGATTCTGGCATCATCGCCACGGTTGATGCAGCTCCATTGTGTGCTGATCTTTAGGGCCTCAGCGCACGTCCATTGCTCGTGTGACTTGAATTCTGACTGCAGTATACGTGCACCATCAAAGTTGATCTAATGGCTCGACTCAACTGCGTGGAGTGCAATAGCTGAGTCACGCGCAAGTTGTTCAAATCTATTGGGTTTCTTGGATGAAAACTCGCTTGGTGTTGGGGCTCGGTGATTCGCACGTGGAGTTGCCAGGCTGTCTGGCCTATGTATTTGGTCGGACATTCTGCACAGGGAATTTGGTAGACGCCGTTTGTGGAGTATCTTATTTCGATAGGGGCCTTAGCTTTTACAAGGCGTCGTTGTAAGGTGCTGTCAATTCGGAACAACCTTTTAATATCATATTCCCGAATTATCTTTCAAATGTCGGCTCTGTGTGCGTGTACGCGTGATTGTGTGTGCCTCTGTTTGCTGCTGTCCTGATGCGTCATTGTTGAGACCCCGGTTGGACAAGTGGCCACCATGCAAGTTCAGGCTAGATAGGATTCTGGCATCATCGCCACGGTTGATGCAGCTCCATTGTGTGCTGATCTTTAGGGCCTCAGCGCACGTCCATTGCTCGTGTGACTTGAATTCTGACTGCAGTATACGTGCACCATCAAAGTTGATCTAATGGCTCGACTCAACTGCGTGGAGTGCAATAGCTGAGTCACGCGCAAGTTGTTCAAATCTATTGGGTTTCTTGGATGAAAACTCGCTTGGTGTTGGGGCTCGGTGATTCGCACGTGGAGTTGCCAGGCTGTCTGGCCTATGTATTTGGTCGGACATTCTGCACAGGGAATTTGGTAGACGCCGTTTGTGGAGTATCTTATTTCGATAGGGGCCTTAGCTTTTACAAGGCGTCGTTGTAAGGTGCTGTCAATTCGGAACAACCTTTTAATATCATATTCCCGAATTATCTTTCAAATGTCGTCTGAAGTGCCATTTCTAAAGGGTATTCCCACGGTGACCGTCGTGTGTTCAGTCTTCCTATCTCACCATGCCAGGTAGCGTTCTCCCCATGAGGCTCATTGACCAATAACCTCTTTGTAACCACCTACAAACCGAGTGTTCACAACTCACTACAACTCCCCGTATATCGTTGTACTTGTACAGGCGAAGTAGGGCTATCAGGGGAATCAAAAGACTTCCTTGATGACAACATTTGATGTTTTAGAGAAGGAACTAATAGAAACAGTTTCGGATAAGTTTGCGAAAATGTCAGTTTTCGTCGCGTATTTTGAGCAGCCATTTTCTAGTCCGACCAAAACAAAAGTTTCATTGACAGATACTCTCATTGGCACACGATTTTGACAACAGGCTCAACTGAATCCAGCTGAAGCCAGTCGCAGGTTGTGGGAGAGTTTTTAGCAACTTTATGAGTAGTGTGCCAAGCTCAGAGTTCCACTCACTCAGCACTGTTTCCTATTTGTGATGTGGTAATTAAGTGGTAAATCCAGCTTCTAAAATTCTCCCAATCTGAGACACTAAGAGAAGATGATTTTTGTACCATAGATCTAAGTTTGAGTTTGCATTGAAACAAAAGCCAGGAAATGGAGGTAAATAGCAGAATGTAGCAAAAACAATTCTGAAGAATGTGAACACATTGACTACTGAGGCACTGCGTGCTGTCAACCTATTTGCCGCCTCGTTCCGGTTTGTCTACACTACAACTGAGTGACAACGGTCACTATGTCTGTATCTTGGACCCCATATCTACCAAACCGAGATAAATTTAGGATGACTAGCCGTTTTCGCGGCGGTATCCACCATTTGCAATCAACACGTGACTACCTTAGTAACGGAAGTCATTGTCATTGGGAAAAATTTAGTTTGGCAACCACAAACTGTTTCCCATAGATATATACGATTTGTTTCACTGAAGATAATTCCTCGTCAGGCACACTGTTTCCTCCTACAATGGCTAGGTTCCCAAGTCCCGAATCGATCGGACTGAAAAATGATATTGTTTTCTCAAGAAACGGTGGAACTGGAACACAAATGGCCTGTAAAATTACGACCAACTATTTGCCCATACAAACTAGAGATCAGTTATCTGAGGAAGTGATAACGGATGAATTTTATATCAACCAGAGTCTGACTACTCTTTCATAATTTCTCAGACGACATGTAGAAGCAAACTCCTTGGGCTCAGCGTTTTTTCACCAACTGCCTCGGCATACTTCTCTCTGAAAATAAATAGTCTTGACTCTTAAATTCTTCCACATACTGTAGTAATTCTGTCACCTGATCGTTTGGGCTTCATGTTTTCTCAGTGGAAGAATCCATCATACGGATATGTACGAAATGTTGCGTAAACTAGAGCCCCCCGTCGGATTTGGACAGAATTGCCCCTATCGCCTCGCCTATCGAGTAAGTCGGATGATCTTAGTTTTTCCTCTTGACCTTATCTACCAATCCTTTTTCAAGGACAATAAACAGCTTTGTCAGAAGCATTCAATTATTGTAAAGAGGTCACTCGTAGAAGTCCGGTTGTAGGCTAGCATGTTTATAGGTTCAGTTCACTCCTCTGTGCTCGGGTGGAAAACTAATGGATGATAAATAATGTGACCTATCCACAACAAATATGTGACATTCAAGAAATGTTTCATCTGGATAAGGTGCTCTGAGAACCGTCAATATACTTGGTTTATTCATCTTCACCTTCCACTGGGTAGCCAATACATACACAAGATGAAATTCATTGAAAAGACCCATTGTCCCATATGTAGTACAGTACAGAGTAGCAGAATTTCGGCTGCACCATCATTTCAGTTTTAGTGATCAGATTGGGTCCTACTGCATATAACTCTATTCCCTCAATTCCACTTCCACGGCTGACGCCGTTACTCCACTGAGGTTGTTTTTTCAACGGATTGATTTCAACGGGAGCCATTTTCAAGTTAACTAAATCTGAGTTTCCTTGCCCGCAGTAGACCGAGAAATGTTCGGTTTGATTTCGCTTTCCTGTATTACGTATTAGCATTCGTTTGGAGATAGTTGTACTAAATATTGGGATTCTTTGCAGGCGTGCACATTTAGGAGAAATTTGTGGAATGAAAGCGATCCGTGATTTTCAGTTACCTACACACCCATCAATCTTTTCAGAAAAAATACACTCAAAATTACATAGCAGTAGTGAGTAGAGCGTGCAATGCCTAAACATATCCCGCAAAAGTGCAATATTAAATTGCGTACAACTCACCTTTCTTGGAAGGGTATGCCTACTGTTACTATGTTTGTGAGATCGCTGGAGATGTAGGATGGAAGAAGATTGGCTCTGAGTGAAGCCCAAACTGAACTTGCCGCACAAATACCGCCTGACATTTCAGTTGGTATCATACTGCAGATATCGCAGTATACTTGCTTGGAGGAAACTATTCGCATCCAGTTGTTAGAAAATACCATAAATGAGCTACCCAGCTTGGATGCAATTGAGTCTCTCGTTAAAAACTTATGAGGGTGCAAATCGGTGTACTTCATGAATGTCGCCAAATTGCGTTCAGGTGGAACAAGAGGTTGGCGAAAACTCGGAGACTGCGCCTACTAGATGAGCCATAGGAAGGACGAAACCGATGGCGTGATGCGGTGATTAGGCTTTCCACTGAAGATATTTCCTATCGTGAAAGTTTTTTTAACCAGGATCAACTCGATCCCAAGCCTATGAAAATGTGTCATCAATTAGTTTTACCTGATCTTGTTACGCAATGAAATGTTGTTGAGTTTCTGTAATTCGTGGCGAATACTTTGAGCTACATACTTTTTTGTTCATAACATATCATTAGTTTGGTCGTTGACTTGCTGATTGAACTGGACAGCTTGATTGCAGACCCTCGCTATTGTTTTGGAGTGACAACGTCAGTGCGTCCTTAAAGGCAGGGACTTAATGGTTTTTTAGACAGTTATGCAGACAATGTAGAAGCATTTCTATCCTATGGCTGTCGGGAACATGGCCATTGAACCTTGATTGGACCTTCGTTTCCGCGCTGGTGCAGGGTGGCCAGACCTTGAATCTTGCTCATAGACTGATCAAATTCTCGTTGAAATTTGCACTACTTGCCACAAAAACGCTCATTTGCCGCGCAGCACAGTTGTGCAAATCTATGTTGGTAGCAGGATTGGAAGAAATCAGATCAAATGCCTGACTGAATGGCTTATTCAGTCTTGTCGAATCACATATGTACTTTGAAAGTACAATCACACCAAAGCGTGGTTCTGATTACCACAGCTTTTCTCGTCACAGCCATGTAGGTGGAATTGGTCGCTAAGTATGAGTGACTTCGAGGAATGGATCTGACAGTGTTCCGTGTTGACTGGCTCCGTCAAAGTGAACACGGCCTTGCAGAGCAGGGACAGGTTAGCTGACAGATGATTAGTGCATTCAACGTTTTGACCTGGGCATCCAACCCATGCTCTTCGACGCATCAAGAGCTTAAATGCATAATTGGTAAGCTGGGTTCGAGTGGCCGACTGAAGCGCAAAACAAACTCGGTTTGGTGTGTCCAAGGGATAACTGTTTTGAATTACAAGTTGGCTGGCATCACAGACCTAAGGAACTCCTCATGGGAGGGATCAAGCAATGTACGGCCGAGGATTGGTTGAGATCTCTTTTGAAAAGATATCCGCTGGACCAGTTTTTATACAACAGTTCATATGTATTTTGCTCTTTTCAAAATCCAAAGGTCCTTTTGTCCCCCAACTTTTTCGGGTAAAGGGTTCCAACGGATTTCCTATGATCTGACGACTGTATCTGTCATAGTGGGGCAGCTTAATAGATAATGGCTTTGATTTCGAAGTTGACTAGTTAGTATATCTTAACCTCCAGGAAACGAAACTCGAAATATGCAAGCTATGAGTGATGTTCAGCTGGAAATTACACAGCGGATCGCAACCTAAGTTCGAATGGAGACAGGTATCATCCCACCGAAAATGTGACCAGATGTATTTAGAGTGAATAAACTACATTCCGATTTTTAAGGACTCCTTGTTAACACTTAAATAAGGTATTCGATAAATGTTACCTCTCTTCTTTGTTCGTTTTATTTGAAACTGTGTTTTTGTTTTCAAGATCTGTTCACAAAAGTTGTGCATGATTATCTCATAGTAACTGACCTAGGATGCCAAAACGGTTTGTTCGAACTAATCCTCAGTCGAACCTAGTAGTCAATACCTTGCTCCTTAGGCGTTAACAAGAGCAGTCCAGTACCTACAAATGCTAGAGATGGTAACAATTATCGCTGAACATCCCGTCAACTGGCCAAAGTTCCTAGCGTTGTCTAAACCATTCAAACGGTGATCTAAAAAGTTTAACACTGTTGTCTCCGAAAACCCGTTTCCGCGTCAGAAATTGATCCGAATGAATATGCCGGTGGACAGCTTGGGGACGGTTCATTTCACCACAACTTTATTTGCCTTGGTCCGAGAAGCGCTTGGGATCAAAATGGCACCCGTCGAACTGATGGACGTGAAGGATATGGAGCTGCGTGAGACAATACGGACCCTGTGGCCAGTACAGGCCAAACGAAAGCTGGATCTGTTGATGCCTCAAGACTCAGGTAGGTTGAAATCCAACAGATTTTTTTCTAGCAGTTTTACAGTGTTGGTGTTTTAAAGTACAAGATGTGCAGTGTGATGGCGTCCGTTGAATTGGTCTCACGACAACGGACGATTTCACAGTGTTCCCTGTACTTGACCAGTCAAGGAAACAGGTGGCGCTGTCGTTGATAATCTCTCTTTCATAAATGTCATTTTGAACAAATCCTTACGATATCGCCTGTTCAGAAACGCCGGGAATTGCTCTTTTGGAGGGAATTCTTAGAAGTAAACTATGTCCCATGGTTGCGGATTTTAGGTACGGTACATGGTGGAACAGGGCCTATAAAGACTGGTGTTCACAAACCCTGTCGCTAAAACAGCCGATTCAAACAAACAAACATCCTTGTACCATGCTCCGTAGATTTTCCAAAGAAAATATAAGCGGATTTTCATTGTATTTTTGACTCTCACACTACAAAACAATTGGGCGAAAATAATGGTTGTTTCCATACCTAAAAGGAATACTCTCAGATGTAACAACTCTTGAGACAGACGGCTCTTTTTAGTCTCCTGATGCTGATATCTCAATTTACGACCTTTTAATGGCCTACCACAGTCGAAACTATATTTGATCGGTCTCCTCAGCTAGTTTATCTAGACTGAAACAGCTAAATTCTATCTAGATGCAGGATTCAAAAGAATTGTACGCGGCTTTTCATGAGTATCACCAAAGTAGCTAGAGCTGTTTGCTCCCTTTCCATCAACAGATGAATGTAATTGCCATTCCTCCTAACGTTGATGATTGTGAAAAATGAGAACTGTCAAAAAGGTATGTGAAAAACAGCTCGATACGACTCCTCAAAGGAAAAAGATGGACATTTCGTAGCGCTATACTTTTCTGTCCGTCTGTCCTGTCTCAGGACAGTTAAAAATCTGTCACTCTATCCACCAAACCGTTTTCAGGTGACTTGCATTTACCAGTTTATAGCTTGCTTTTAGCGACGTAGTAAGTACCTTACTTAAGCTTTGAAAACTACTACACGTGACTTATGGTCATGAGAATTATTCGGTCGAATTGCGAGCAGCTGGACCTGGAGGAAGTGACATACCGATTTTTGTGGTGTAGGTGGATGAATAAAGAAAAACTAGGAGCCCCTGGAGCATCAAAACTTCAAATGGGACCAACATTATTTAAACATAGCAATCTATGTTGAACTAAATTTTGTTACCAACTCACTGCGTCTCTGAATACCTTCTGGAAATTCCTATCTCCCTCTGACCTTACTTTGAATGTTTTTAACCACCTGACTCATTTCGTTCCACATTTATGGAGTAAGGACATGAGTGGTTTTGGGAATCTTTCCTGTGTTTGTCAAGCGCCATCCTGATGGACTAAGCTAGCTTAAGTTCTTCTCGGTTCATTGCGCTCAGATTTCAAAAGCCTCTGATCAGTAGCTTGTAATTAGCGTGGCACCAAGCGATTCCGGAGTAGCCAGTATGACACTTCCAAGTGAAACTTGTTTGCATTTGTTATCATCCAAGGATTTCCAACTTGGGCGACTAACGATCCACCGGCTGGACAGAAAAAAACAGTCAAAAGCCTGGACGTGATAGTCTGATGTTAATACTGAGGAGGATCTTACTACATTAATTACTAAGTTAGTCATTCTGAGGAAACCACCTTCGTTCATACCGTAACAGTCCTTTGACTGAAGTGCTTTCTCGTAGAAACAACATTTTTTGTGGTTTGGTTCCCCCCTCCCCATGAGAGCCAGGAAGTCTCTTTCTCCGTTTTAAGAACCTCATTCCTTCAAGGATGCATTCATTCTCCGCCTGTCTTCTCTTGTGAGATTCCTCTCATAAGCGTAGTATACTGTCCGAAAAATAATGACTGAGGAGAGATGCTCCCAAAAACGATCCCAATAAAGTTCATCCGCAGAGGTCTACGAGGGAGAAGAAACATATCAGTCTTTTGTCCTTCTATCTACTGTGTTTCCACTAGAATGCACATACACTCATCTCACGGTGGGGAAGATTTACGCGGGTCTACTCATCTTGGAGAACTGGCAGCTGAATCGAGCAAACGCTCATAAGGGTAGTGGTACGATTCCGGTGAGTAACGATTTTTATGTTGCAGGTGCTTATCCATTACACGGTGGTAAACCCTTCCATGTCTATTAACGTCCACCAAAGGGTCTCTTCTACTCAGGTTAGATTCATCAACTTCTCTTGTCCAGTAAGCCACTGCATCTCAATGAAGAAGTCATTCGTGACCGTAAACAGTAAAATCAATCGTGCCAGAGGTCAAGCTATGTGAATAGATTTATTTGAGGTGAATGTCAACCACATCAGCATCTTAGCCATCACATTTTATCGCGTGCTTCTGGGCGGTGGTGTTCAACAGCTTTGGAACAAAGGTTTCAGGCACAGACAGAATGCCCTCTGCTCACTTCTGGTGCTGAATGTTTTCGAGCTGGTTTTGTTGATAAATCTGGGCTCGTCACAGAAAGCTTGTTAAAACAGTTCTCTGCGAAAAACGAACTCCCCGATAGAGACCAACCTTACGCACCTTCCGACATCCGTGCAACAGCAAAGTGGCAATTCAACTCTTTCGATTTTCATTCCGTTCAAAGCCAATGGAAGGATAACGTGGATGACAAAGCTATACGGAATTCTCTTATCTTTAAGGCTTGCAATCAAACTGCATTGCAGTAATGCAGAATTTATGTAAATTGGCTATTCGACCAATGGTGTCACAACTCAGATCTAGGTTCGGTGTTTTTGGGTACGTGATTTCGATGGGTTTCGAGCGAATGAATGACATACGTAAACAAATATTTAACTAAGTGACTAACTGTGGAAGGGTTTTTAACATGACCAGACACCAGACAAATACAACAAAAGAAAAACAATATAAATATAACTGACTGGAATTGTTCTCACACGATGGCATTTTGTAGACGAAGTAGTGCACCATATATATATATATGTATATTTATATATATATATATATCCTACCTAAAACCGGAAAACTGATAATCAGATTTGCTTAATGTCCGTACATCATAACAGTATGTGTTGTATGGAAATGCAGATATGGGCAAGCTTATTGATTACGTGGACGGTCACGTGATATAAACACAAAATAATTATTAATAGAAAGCATTTCGCACTACTCGCGATGTAGATGCTGCTTGTGTATGTCGCTTTAAGTTTATGAAGATGAATACTGTCTATTAATTTATTTATTGCTGTGTTTCACTCTCCTTCCCCCCTTTAGAAGCCAAAACTGGAAGCATGTCTTACCCGGATACTCGGACACGAGTAAGTTCATTTGAACTCTGCATTGACTCCAGAGTCATAACTATCACAGTGACCTTGTACTCGGACAGCCCCCATAGATGCCTACTGCGTGTTCTAATAAGCACCTTTGTCTGACATCCTGGTTGCTTACTTCGTTAGCGTGGGACGGTAATTGCAATCAGCCTGGTGACAACGTTGGATTGGAAATGCTGGGGAACATTTGATGGTTTTTCAGCAAAAGATGAACTGATCGGGCTCAGTGGATGGCTATGTCCTTCGCATGAATGTAGGAGGCCTACCCTTCCCTTTTCACTTGTTTCCTAGGGCTTTATTCCCTCAGATTTGCACAGCACCAATATATATTACTGGTGTATCGCTGTCAATGATGAGGAGAATGTTATCCGGAGAAAAAACCTTTTCTGGGTCATTCGCAAAACGGACTCACCTAAACGAGCTAATTTTATGACTTGGCAACCAGCAAAAAGAGACACTCTGTGGTATATATGAGTAGAGTGTCAGGGATAAGTCGTCAGCGGCTGTCCGGCATAAGACCTAACACCTTAAATTCGTAGCTGTTCCGAAACGTGTCACCATAAAAGTAGTTTCCAGCCTAAAAGAAATGGTTTGGCTTTGCATACTTAGCCTTCAGATGGTGTGTGTATAATTTTAAAGCCCTCGACTGCTGTTCTCCCTCCGGTTTTATTCTCCTGGGTCTACATAGATTACAGAGTGTTCAGATGTCGGCTCACAATGCTGACCGCATATGGTGTAAAGTGGACTCCATAGCTAATTGTGAAAGGTGCCAACCTACTACCTAAACCTGTGTCAAAATTACGTGTAACAAAGCGGAACGATGGTACCATGTAAGTTGCAGTGATGTAAATCTTCAAACGCGCGAGCTTAAATATTGGATGTAAGGTAGTCGGCTTGAGAGACACTTACTCAGAGGTCAGACTCACGGCACTTCCGCAAGTCGGTGCATCAGGGTTCAGATTATTCGGTGTCGGGAAGAACAGTTCATCGTCAGTTCACTGTGAACGAACTGTCTCGAAATGCAAGTCAGAGTTAATGGTTCATCTGTTGAGAAATCTTCATTGCATTGTTTATTACTCTCTATGCTTTGATGGGTCCTCAGGTCTTGAGAACTGGTCACTCAGTAAGTCAGTTACCACTAGGTCAACCAATGTGAACTGATCAGTAGTGTTCCACCCCTTCTAAGTGCTAGTTAATCCAAACTGCTAATAAGCCACTCGCAGCTGAAGGTGGGGTATCCAACACCTGCTTGGGAGGTCGAAAATTCTAATGTATCGCGAGATTTTTTGGACGCGCTGTGCTAAAACAATTGTAAGATGCCCAATGCACCAGCGACAGTTGACTTCACCTGCGACATGAAGTTCGGACCCGAAAATCTGTTCTCTCAAGTAACGTTCAAGGAATTCATCATGTTCTGTTTAGTGCACAAACAAACAGGCTTTTGAGGCATCCGAAAGCTAATTCACAGAACTAATCGACTCGTGGCAGTGGCAAGATAGCAGTTTGTGTAAGTCTGGTCCCGAGTACGTCACAATGCTTAAGCCGTTTTACTGACTTCAAAACGGGTCAACTGTTCTTATATTATGGGACTTACTGACTAACTTAAAACGCACAAGAAAAGTAAACACCAACTGCTTTGGTCATCTTTGGCCTGACATTAACGTGTATCAAATTTCAACACTGTCGAGCGCATTACCTTCTCCAAACGCAGACTTCATTTTTTCTCGAAATTATGTCCCTTCAGCCCTTTTCTAGCTACCGGTCGTTCTTCCAATGTTGGTCTTGAGAGGTTACGCACGGGAAGTCACAGTGAGCGAAGAGGATCTTCAATATTCCCAGGAGACTCGGTATGTTCTGTTGATAGCACTTTCTTGCAAGGAAAAGGTAACATCCCACATTCAAAGCCGATGTGCATGTCTTTGGCCGTTCTTGGGACTTTCAGACGATTTGCATACTTCACCACCTCTCATGTTCCGTTTTCACGATGTGTTCTCAAAATACTCCGTACGAAAAACATTATGGTTCGCATGCATCGGCGCTCAGGGATCCTTTTTAAAATTTGAATTTTCCCCGTTGAATTGAAAACTGGAAAAACGACAACAAAAAATAATGTTCCAATTATCTGTTTTTACCCAGCGAAAATGTGACCGTTGTCAAATAGCATTTGCCCAAGCAGTGATTCTATATTCCCATGTATACCAGCAGGAGTAATTTTACTCGTACAGTTTTCGAGAGCGAATGTCATTTTAGAGAAACTAGACAAGGCAACCGAACGCACCAACGTTTTAGGCGTAGATGCGTTTAGATTGCAACGTTCCAATACCCCACCGCTTTTGGTTGCATAATCGCTGCCCGGCAGTATAGACTGGTCAGGTCAAATTTCATGCTAGCCGACACAGGACACTAACCTCCATATATACCGCCTAAATCATCAACAAATGGAAGCGCCACTGTGGTATCGAGGTTTTCTCCGGTAGACCCCCTAAAAATAATTACATCGTTTGGTAGATGAAACAAACCTTCATCCATAATGCATTACTCATAAGGTTGGTGGAACTTCGTCTACAGCCGACGACCGGTTCCGCCCTTCTTGGGGCTCATCAGGTAGGCGCATTCTCCGAGTTTTCGTTAATCTTATATTCTACTTGAAAATACACTTGAAATACACTCATTTGAAAACTAATTTAGTTTTGCGAGAGACTCACCTAGAACCTAGCTGAATCCCCCGTTTGTGATATTTTCGGGCACCTGAATGTGCTACAACAGGCCGCTTCATCTTTCAGTTGCCTGGATACATCACAAACGAGAGATTTAACAGGGTTTCAGGTGAGTTTCTCGCAAAACTAAATGAGTTTGCAAATGAGTGTATTTCGCTAAACCTTCATCCACTTCTGTCGCCCGTGTTTCCTCAGCGGAATAGTCAGTGTCAAATTATACATCGTTACTTCTGTTGCAACCTTGAGCTTTTGTACTAGTGCCCGTAATTGAGGATGTGAGAGCTTGCTGGGTATGAGGGATGCTACATCCATACTAACTACTTGTGACCGTATAAGTACTCAATAGTCCCTGAGAACGGTTTTATTATCGCTATTCATGAATCTCACAAGGGAAAGCAATCAAGCGTGCGGAGCGAAGTAGACATCCTTAAACATGACAATCGCGCAACCCTCTTTCGCACATATTGACGGATCTTCAAGGTATACTTTTACGCTAGGATCCCTACCCTAAGACTCTGTCTGATATTTCGGAGTAAGATGAGTTGGAGTAGCCTATGGGATAACGTTTAAAATACTGGGTCAGCTATCCTGGAATACGGTATGGCAGCTATTATGTGATGATCCCTCTGCAAGACTAAGAGTTCCACGGAAAATGTCTGGCTTCTGCATACCGCTTTTCGAAAGGATTTTTAAAATAATCTAATACAGACCTCCTCGTAGCGATTCACACCAGACGCGTCAGCTCACGATTCTTCAACTGCCTCGACATGCATGCAAGTTAGCTTTCCAAGTAGACGGTATTTTGGAATGGTGTTACCAAACTCCTCCGCAGTGCAAGTAGTGATGTTGTGCCTTTCCCGCCATCTGCGATCCGTTGACCCACACAAATAGGTTGAAGGCAGAGCTGGCCTTTTTGAATATCCTGTGACCATATCCCATTGAGGCACTCTTCGGCTAGCCAAGCATTGATCATTGCAAAGACAGTAATTGTCTCACCGCCCCGATTCCGAAAGAGTTGGATTTTGAACGCCAACCAGAAGCGATAGCAGCGTGTGCTTAGCTTCTCAACCCTGAACAGAACTTGAATAAATACCATGCTGTGCTTCTGGTATCCAAATTGCTGCTGTTTTCCACCAGCAATATATGAGAACTACAGATTTTCGATTAACTTTTGGCACTTTACTTTATGAGTCCATTTGATTCACCACTAGATCGTGTCGGCCATGTTCGCCTGTCTCAGTTCTTGTCCGTTTTGCCCTTCCGAATTGCCGGAGCCCGTGGTACAACTCCGTTATACTACTTTTCGCTTGCCAGTAGCCCACTTTTACTCAAAATACATTCCATCCCATCTCCAACCTAGCTACGTGTCCCAGATGACCGAGCAGAAACAATGAGCTTGGTTCTGAATCTCGAGAAGAACCTTCCTTGCCACCCTGTTGATCAGATTGCTCATGCCATGCCATCACAGGCCAAGTCCCTCGCAGTAAAACAGGGTAGACCGCAAATAGTAATTTCCCCCGCGGACACACCCCTCTCTACTTCTGCCGAACCCAAGGAAAAACAATATCAGGATTCGGATTCAATATCAGTGACCTCAACAGAATACCTACAAATGGCCATGGGCAGTAGAACAAGTCCAGAACATGAGCAGAGTGAATCAGATCAAGTCTATTCGAACCTGGGTCCACCAAACAGGTTACCAACGGGTAAGCCCAAACTAACATTCTACGCCCAACCACCGGAGACGGAATCGATGGATGGCGGGGATTCACAGGACTGGGATCAGGAACAGGAACAGCGAGTTTTGAATTTGGAGAACGGTCGAGGACAGTCTGTACTGCAGCGACGAATTAATTACGTCCAGCGATGCGAATCACCGCTAGATTTTGCCTCTGCTGTCCACACGCTAGTCGGACAAGTGAACATGTTGGCTGAAAAAAGTCGTGTGGACAAATACCTGCGTAAGTAGCAAACATGATTTCACTTCAAAGGGTTCTTAAGATGACTTTGCAACCTTTCATATTTTTCAGGTATAAGTTGGTGAATCCGACCGAGATGGTTTGGACGAATCCAGTTATTCGTGAAATCAGACAGCTCGCTCCCATTTGCGTAGCAGTGGTGAATAGTCCACTTGCGTCCCCTTCTTTTTTTGAGGGAGAGGGTAGTTTATAAAGGGCTAGCAATGCTTTTACGACAACCCGTTAGTTTTTATGCGTCTGTGTCTCAACTTAACTCTGAGTTCTCAAATTTGAAATTTATCCACCAAAGCCCGGGTGATTACCGATCAAATTTGCGATTGAACGGAAAAACCCGTCGGAAAATCTGTCGACACTTAACGATGATGCAAAATACTGTTGTACCAAACCGACTGAAAAACGCTTGTGATTAAGTGACATGGAAAACACTTCCACGCAGTATAAATTAAGCTACCTCGTTGAACTTTTATAAAATTTGATGGGGTAGACATGTCATGGGACGAGTTATATATATATATA